CCCCCCCCCCCCCTAAACTAATTTGCCCTCCCCCTCTCTTTTGCGTCCTTTGACGCGTCGAACGGACGAATAATCGAGTTTCTCTTTTTTAGACAGACATGGACTACGTGACGTATGTCGCGAAGCAAATCGAAGTTCAGTAAGTCTCCCCTGTCTTTTGTATGTGGTTTTCCTCTAATTTTGTTTTTTTTTTTTTTTACGATAATGATTCCATTAGTTTTTTCTCTCATTCAGATTTCCGAGCGAATGTGAAGCCGGCGTGATCGATGTGATATCACCGTCGTCGTCCTACTATCCGGATTTGTCCAAGTTGCGCGACACACTGGGCGACGATCATCAACGCGTCGTCTGGCGTTCGAAGCAAAACTTGGACTTCGCCTTTCTCATGTCGTACGCCCAGACGAAAGGTACGTTCTACGTGCAGCTAGAGGACGACATCTTGGCCAAGAAGAACTTCATAACTACCATGAAGTCCTTCGCGTTGCAGAAGATCGGTACTAAGGAGAACTGGTTTGTTCTCGACTTCTGTCAGCTTGGTTTCATCGGTAGGTCATTATTATATACGTGTGTATATGTGTGTGTGTTTCAAAAATCTTAATATTTAAATCATGATTGTGATACGCAGGAAAACTGTTCAAGTGCGTGGAACTGCCATGGCTGATCCAGTTCTTCCTGATGTTTCACAATGACAAGCCCGTCGACTGGCTTTTGGATCACTTGATATCCACCAAAGTCTGTAGTCTCGATAAGGATAGCGTAAGTATAAAATAGATCGATAAGACATTTAACCTTTCGTCGGCATGCTCCATTTTTCACTGCTTAGTTGGACACGCTGAGTGAAGCTTCTCTGATATATATCCTTATTTAAATATCTAAAAGTGTGTTTATTCAACGTACAGATATCGTAGTTTTGAACATACGAAAAGGTAAATTTGACAAATTTGTGGCAATTATTTTTCAAACAGAGACATAACAAAAGAGAATGCATTGGATTCCACATAGGAAGAAGTAAAAATATTCTAAAGAAAAAAATTTATGTTTATATGTACGATAAATGAAGAAGGAGGAACTACGGAATATTAATTTTCCATTTGGATAAATTTGAGTGTCAAACTCGGGTGAATAATGTATCTCAGTTTGGCAAGGAGGTCCCTCTCTTTCTTCCAGAAACACTGCAAGATGGCCAAAGCAGAACTATGGGTGCATTACAAACCCTCCCTTTTTCAACACATAGGGACGCATTCCTCGTTGAAGGGAAAAGTGCAGAAACTCAAAGTAATTCTACTGAAGTGAAAATGAAGTAGGATAACGCGCGTGTTAACCGTCGGCAGATAATCTCAATTCAACTTGTTGTAGGACAAACAATTCGGCAAGATAACGCTGTTCTACGCCCACGAGAATCCCGAGGCGACCGTGGAGACTCAGATCAAGCCTTATAAGCAGTATACGCTGCAAAAAGCGTACAAAGGCGAGTCGTTCTTCTGGGGCTTGCTGCCGCAGCCGGGAGATCACTTGAAGTTTAAATTTTTGCATCCTATTTTTATAAAGAAGTAAGTGGAGATCCGCCGATCTCTCTTTCTCTCTCCTGTCGGTCCGAATCCATCCGAGATTAAGAGATGTCCTGACGCTTCGTTTCGTGCTTCTATTCAGGTACTTATTCAGGAGTGGAAATGCCGAGCATCCGTCTGACAGATTCTACAACACGACGGTAGAAGTGTTGTCCGATTTATCGCCCTTGTTAGATAGAAATAGCAATGACGTGACGGAGGACGGTTACGTCATCGTAGGTAAGTGATTCTTTGCACCGTATAATGATGATAATACGATCGATCTGAGAGCTCACATAAAAACGTACGTACGGTTATGAATGAATTAGGTAAGTTTGATGTACTTGGCGTTGCCGAAGGAACGGTGGATCGAAGGCTGGGTAGGATATCGGTGCTCCGCTTGACTATACACAGCGAGAGCGAAAACTGGGCCATCCTGTCCGAGGTAAGAACGTTGACGAATTGAATCAAGGCTCCTCTTTCCTCCTCTTTCCTCCTCGTCGCGGTACCTTCTTGATTAATGACGTCAGAAGCGAGAAAGCTCTTAATGGACCAATTACAATAAACTAGGTACATGACTCTTCACTACGATAGGCTCTTCAAGAGTCGACGTATGAATTTTATAGAAGAAGACTGAAATAAGGACTGCGTCCAGGAAACACGATTAGTGAGGAGTCAATGATTATTGGTTTTTTTTATTAGATCCTTAAATTTATAACGATCACGTTATAAATTTGACGAATTACTTACACCGTTGTGCAATTTTATGATCTGCGTAATTTTTATTATAAATTCTTACGAAGCCTCTCATGTGAAAATTTTAATTTTGTCAAGAAGTAATATTTCGCAAATATGCTCGATCGACCGTAAGCGTGATTTCACGAACGCGTCTTCTTATTGCAACATATTTCGCAAGAATTTACGTTTCTTCGCTTATAACGTCGTCCAAGAAGACGACCCTAGCAGAGGACCGAGGAGTCTTAAATAAATTGTAACGTACCAATGGTTACCGCTTAATTCAAAAGCCACGACTTTTTCGATTAGATTCACATAGTAGAAGATCAACCTAGCTGACTAAAGGATGAAGAATCTCGAGCGTTCTTTCGGTATCACCTGCACGGTTAACGTAAGCGGACGATTGTATAAATGTTTATTATTTTTATATTCCTTTTTTCCCCCTCTCGTCTCATGCTGTGTCACGCACTGAATGGACTGCGCTTGGTATAGGAATTATTAGTTCAATGCCGTCCATTATTCCAGGGAAGTGAATTATTTTGTTGTCAGATCGCTCAGTTTGACTTCCCGTTCGGCCGTAGCCGTGTCCTTCGTGATCTCGTTTCTTTTTTTTTTTCGGTTTCTCGCAAGCGTCCCGCATTTCCGGCTCATCTTTTCAGGGAGAAAAACCACCGTCGGAAGCGAATTCACGAAGGAGACGTGAAATCACGCCGAGACGGCCAAATCGCGCGGAAATGTCGAATATCACAGACATTAAAAATTTAGCCAACGATTGTAAAGTAAACCGACATTCTCTTCTTATTGGGCGACCGAGTATTTTATATTTTTGAATATACTTTTTCTCTTTAGTTTGTATACGTTGCTCGCTGAGGTGCAGCTTCAATGTTAATACCTCGCTTCTAAACACTCATATTGCGGCGAGCATTCGGTTTAACGGGTGTAGGTAATACAGCGCGTTGTTGAGTATCGAGAGACGATTCAGCGTTGATTTTTCCACTTCGCTTTTCGTAAGATCGCGTCTCGTTTCGGGCATTCGTTCAAACTGGAATCGCACCCGCATTGCGTTCGCATCGTGTTTCGATTCGCTCTCGTCACGGGTCTGCTCCGGGTCTTCTCGTGCTTAAATCATTCGCGAAACGTCTTCGGGGTCGATACGGGCTCGTGTTTACACACACATCTAATACTAAATGTATTCGCGTCACCACGCAGTTACGTCTCAAAGTTATTGATCTTCACGACTGAGGGAGATGTAGCAGTCGAAATCATGGGAATTTGGCGTTAGATAAATGAAATGTGAGTGACGAACATGCGAAAACTTAACCAGATATATGTGTATAAAGTTCATTTTCCCATAAAAAAACCGAGTTTTGCGATATATATATATATATACACATGTGTGTGTGTGTATGTATGTATGTATGTATGTATGTATGTATGTATGTATAATTCACGTGACATGTACAATTTTTGTGAATGTATGTGTGTAGACAGTAATTTATTATATTATATTAAATGTACGACGCGCGAGGGAGAGAGAGAGAGAGAGAGAAAGAGAGAGAGAGAGAGAGAGAGAGAGAGAATGCGTCGATATGGATGTTTGTTAACGCCCGCGAAAACGGTGATCTGAGAATTATATTCTTCTATAATGTATGTATACAATTATTTATTTCGCACAGCTTTCTTTATATATATATATATATATGTGTGTGTGTGTGTGTGTGTGTGTATACACATACACACATACACCTATGTGCTCCTACATATACATACAATGATATTAAAAAATATATATTTTTCTGACGAAGCGTATATGATATGAAAATTCTACAATGTGCGTCGATGTTATACGCTCTGTTATCTCTTACAGTCTTTGCAAAATGCAATTCGCTAGTAGGAGTACAAAAAAAAAGGTGATCCTATTGTTACGTGATTCCGACCAGAGAACGAACTGAACCGGCGACGAACAGATTGCGTGCACAGAAGCCGTTCGTTTCAAGAAGAGCAGCTTTCATTCGAGAGAGATCACGCTCTCGGAGAGATCAACGCCCTGTACGGAGCAGGAGCAGGCGTGACGCCGTCCACGTAGTCCTGCGCGGACGGTCGTGGATCGCCCGGTGCGACGGAGAAGTTGAAGGCCTGCAGCAGAGTCGCCGTTATGAGGAAGATGTTGCTCTTGGCCAATGCCTCGCCCATGCAACGATGTCTGCCTGCGGAAAACGAGCAGAGTTCCCTTTATCGTTAAGCCGAATCGTGTGTTTTTCCTTGCACTTTTTTCTAAGGTGACTTTCACACCGAAACTCCGGTTAAGCTAATCGATAATAATGCTAATAGTAAGAATTGCCAACGTCAATTTCCAGTTCTGTAATTCTTGTCGTTCAACAATAATCGGGAAGTTAATTATTTTTCCGTCTGCGTTAACAAGATAGAGCAGATAACACTTATTATATATATATATATAATATTCTAAGGATATTCCTATAATATTAAAAAATGTCACATAACATCCTTAGAATATTATAAGAATATTTTATATTTTATATATTTTAATATTATATATAATATCACGCGTTTAGAGGATGTTAATACGTTACAATAGCGATATAATGGACGGAGCGGGAAGAAACCATACCCATGCTGAAGGGGAAGTAATTTTTCGGCATGAAGACACTGCCGTCACCATCGAGGAACCTCTCCGGCCGGAAATTTTCCGGGTCGCCCCAGGACTTGTCCATGCATATACTGTTGAAATTCAGCACAAGCATCGTGTCCTGAAAAAAAAAAAAAAAAAAACAATGATCATTCGTTCACCTCTTTGCCGGCTCGCGAGGTATTGAAGCATCTTTCGATGCTGCAAAGTGTCACACTTTGGGTATTTTGTAGCCTTTGATAAAGGTGTCCTTCAACGATCGACGCGGCACGCTCAGTGAACGCCCTATGAACATCCTTAAGAATTCCAGGACGGTCGCTTGGATGTATGGCATACTGGAAAACAGACGAGAACATGGATGACACATTCCCAAGAATGTTCAAGTTCGAAATAAACCCTCTCTCTTTCTTGCTTTCAGAATATATAACGATATATCACAAATAATCAGAAAACAGCGTCTACCTCGGTCGATCGGCCAACGTGGGCAATCTGTTACGACCGACGACTCTGTCTATTTCCTTCTGTGCCTTCCTCTGAACTTCCGGGTGCAGCACCAGGTACATGAAACCAAAGGCGAGCGACTTCGAAGTTGTTTCCGAGCCCGCCACGAAGAGATCCACGCAGATCGCTAAGAGCTGGCTTTCTGAAATTCGTTTCATATTACTGCGTGAAAGAACCTAATTATATTATTATTATTATTTATATTACTATTTTTATTTTATTTTTTACTATTTTTATCTTATATTTTTATTTTGTTATTTTCAGATTATGTATCATATTCGAATTCGACGACCTCAGAAGCTCTTAAATACTCCAAGCGCAATCAAATCGTAATAATATAAATATGTTTCTCTCTCAAGATGCGCATATACGCTTCGTGAAGTAAAAGTGACACGACACTTTTTCGCGCAAAATCTGCTTCCGCAGGTTTATCTACTTGGGAAATGATTTTCAATAGTGATCATTGCCTATGTGTGTGTGTGTGAGCCAAAACGCACCTGAGAATGTGTCGCTATGATCCTTCGAGTGCAGCACAGCGAGGTAGACGTCCATCAGATCGCGCGGCTCGCTCGGCACGAATGTGTTTTTGTGATTGTACAGTTCCTCCTGAGGAGAAGGGGGATCGTTATTACCCGACGATCTGCTCGAGAATGCAAGATACTTCCTCGACGTACGACCGACTTTGCCGATGATCTATCCGATAAAACGTCAATTAACACGATTCTTTCACTCACTTTCAAAAATGCCCACAGCTCCTGATGCGTTTCCAAGTACGACTTGTAGCCGGATATTTCCGGCGCGACGTAGCGTAGCGCCGGAAAATGGCTGAAAGGCGCGCCGATCATATCGACTTCCTCCAGGAGCTTCGCGAAGATCCTCTGTAGATGCGTGAGTTCCTTGTCGTTGGTATCGTACCTGTGTATGTGTGTGAAAGTCAGTAATGAAATTAGAAAGGGACCTTACAAACCATTCGGCAGCAAAACATGAATTTTCGTAGCGTCATTAAATATTAATATTTTTATCGTTAACATTTTTCACATTCAATCAATTCCTCTCGTGAATTTCCACATACGGCAACGAGTAAAATTTCACCGTCGTTTCATAAGTTTCAAAAAAAAAGGAAAAAAAGGAAAAATAAACCGGCACGCACCTTTTGCCAGCCATCATTCTCCACAAGGTGTTCAACACGGTCACGCCGAAGGCGTTGTGCATGAAGACGACCACTCCCGCCGATTGAGCGACTCTCCGGACCTCGGCGTAGTCGTCGGCCTTCACGTACAAGTCCGCCACCGTCGAGGCGCGCTTCCCAACGGCATCGTTCTCGGCCACGTTGGACTCCTCGTACGGACTCCACTGCTCCTTCTTCAGATCGCCCGGCTCCTTCTGCAGCTTGTATATCTGTCCGGCGTTGTTGTCACTGTTCACCGCCGGTCTTCGGGCTTGGTCTCCGGCAGTGTTTGCCTTAGATTTTCGATTCATCTAGATGAGAAACCCGCGAACAATTCATCTCAGATGAGATGACGATAATTTTGCTTTTGATTTATCCAGACGAAAGATAAGTAACGCTATTTATCTCGATAATTCTTTAGATGATATTGTTTTCATGAGAGACTTTGTAAAAGTTTGCGATAAATTCACGCGGATCGCATAAAATTGCTCAACGGTTAAGCAATTTGTTAACGTGATCGCTTTGGATTTAAGGATCTAAACGGAAAAGACCAATAATCATTGGCTACGTTCAGTGGAACGTTTAATTTGCAACTGGATGATTATTTAAATCATTTTATCCAGATACCGGTAAACGCTGGTCTCCGGTGATCCCCCGGCGGTGGTCGTGGTCGCAGCCCTGCAGCAGCCTCTCGAAGTGCTTCACCAGCTTCCGGGCCTCGTATTCGATGATCGCGGCCATGGTGTTGCGACCGAAGCCGAAGTCGCGGAGATGCCGCATCACGAATCTCCGTTGTTCCGTCCACAGTCGGCCGTCCACCACGAGGAGACCTGAGAGTCACGAAGTAACGACGACGAGTCAACGTTCGCCTTCTCGATCGCGTTCGACTTCTCTCTCTCTCTTTCCTTTTTCTTCCTTTTTTTTCCGCCATAGGATGAACAAACTACCTTGCCTGCGGCCGAAAGTCCTGACCTCGAAAAGAGGCCCGGTCGGCCTGCCGTCGCAATTCTCGTCGCTCAGCATCGCCTGGACGCTCTCCAGGTCGTTCAAGACGACGATGCGGTCCTTGCCGAGCTTCAGACCCACCACCGGCCCGTATTTCTCGCAGAGCGTCAAGCAACTTTTGGTGAGATATTTGGCTTCTTGGCGGATCCGCGCTATTTCCAGTATGCTTCCCAAGATGGGCCACCATCTCGGGCCTGGGAATAACAAAGAACGTGAGGATCAATTAGAGAGAAGTGAGAATCATTGTGGACTACCTGGCGGATATCCTCTCGGCTTCCGGCAGTCCAGATACAAAAGCAGCATCAGGAGGATCAGCAGCAACATCGCCGTAACGAACATCCTGGAGAATTATTCTGCAACAGATTGATTAACATTGAAATACATATTCGAGATACACGTGTAAAAGAATGATCATATCACGAGTACAATGAATAATAATAATAATAATAATATTATATATTATTATTATATTCAAAATATACGAGATCAGTTTACTCGTTCACGTATAAAGTGTGGATTCCAGAAAATTATCGTTCGGCCTCGTCGGTGCGTTTCAATTAATCCGTCTGGCGAGCGAATTTTCGGTGAACAACGCACGGTGAACGTACACACGCACAATCAACGTTTGTTTACCACGCACGCATGCACGTACGCGCGCACATCACGAACACGCGTGGGCAATGCATCTTTTTGAGGAAGGCAACTTTCAGGAAGAAAGTGAAATGCGGATGTCAGTGTGTAAATGCTGATCGTGGGAGAAAGTTGCATACGGAAGGACCGGTGCATTACCTTGCACTGTCACCTGCATTATCCAATAGCTCGTTGCATAATGGATGCACATTTGATATCTGGCTTCGTCGGCGCACGCAAGGTGTGCTCTCGTCACTTTCGAATTCTCCTCCCTTCTCAGAAATTCTGTTCTGCTTCGGAACGTCGCATCCTCGGGATTCGATGTCGATTTCGAGCTCTCGACACGCCCGGGGGAACGCGTCTCGAAGCAGGATTATAGTAACGTGCCTGATACGCAACGACTCGAGGTACAAACAATCGCACATACGCCAATATATTTCTTATATTTCCATTTAATTCCATTGATTTCATTCATTCGATCTATTCTATTTAATTCGGGAAAACATTGCGAAATCAATAAAAGACGAGTTTTTAATGATAAAAAGTCAAAAAGTCCGAGATCAAACGAATTGCGGTAAAGTTTTTTCAATTATAAGATTAAAATTAATATTTATATTTAATAGTATTACGTGCGCTTTTTATATCTCGATAACTAGTTTCACTGAGAAAGCTTTTTCCTTTTTTCCTTTTTTCTTTTAAAGAAACCAGTTATACTGAGATATAAAGTGCACGATATATATATATAACATGTACATCAAACAAGTGAGTTTTTGATTGAGTGTCAGACAGTTGATGGGAATCACGTTGCATAATCGTTCCGTTTGAAGTATCGTGAGAGGAATATTTGAAAATACCGAAGTAGCTCTTTCTGGAATCTTTCTGAATTTATCTTACCTTGCCTCTGGAGAAATTTTCGCGTCCGCTGTATAAGAGGTACTGACCGTGGACCAGCGTTCGTTCCGCTTTTAAATGCCCCTCTTCGTCCCTCAAAGTGCTCCTCGCAGATATTTTCGCCTGAATATTAACGCGATTAACGCGTTGGATTCATTGGGTTGGCGCACGGTAATGCGCACGGAAAACTTCAATAATACGAATTCTAATTCAATCAAGATGCAACAATCTCAGTATATACAGGGAGAAAATTCTTTTCCGCCAAGACACGCAGAATAAAGTCCATAAACATACTCGGGCGAATAAATGTCCAAAAGACGTCTTAAAGACGTCTAAAAGACGTCCTATTTTTTTTTTAGATATCTTTCGCACGTCTTTAAGAGCTCAATCACAAATTTGTTCTACCTTGGTAGATTTGTGTGTTTAGGTCCTGTGAAAAGTTCAAAATTTTACATTCGGGGTCATATATCCTGTAGATGAAAAATCACATTAATTTCATCTGTATATGTAATTCATAAGTTTGCACGAGTAACTCTAATTATAACGATAGGATTGTAATGGCTCTAATTATAATGGTTTTAATCTTATGTATGTATGCGTCCTGCCATTTTCTGATTTTGAGAGGCGAATTCAGGCGTATATTTAACGTATATTTTCTTTATAAAAATCAAGACAGTTAAAAACGATATATATCGTTAAAAATATATATATATATATCGTTATATTCAATGTAGATCGAAGAAAAATTTTCTTGTCTTATTTTTATCCCAATCACATGATCCAATATGGCGGCGAAGTTGGGCCTGCACTTTAGCGAGCACGGTCGAACGGTAGACAAGGTAGAAGTCGTGCCGTTGATCCGAAGGTCGAATGTGAGGAGAATAATCGACTGTGATTGGTCTTAATTTCTTAAAGCTCAGATGTTTAATTTTATTTCCTCATTCTACAGCACTTTCTCCGGTGTCATTCCCTTCCGGAATATCCTCCAGCTCCTTGTAATGTATCGGCAGCCTGTCGCCCCACTTGCTGTTCCTTGCGCAACGGTATACATCCCTGAAAGAGGTCTCTCGTAACTTCCCTTCGAGATTTCAAACAGAATGAGCGAGCATTCAAGCGGAGGTACCTTCCGTGCTTCCACTTCGTGAAGATCTCCTCCCTCAGTTCGCCGCTGGCGACGCACATGCGGCAGATCGTGTGCTTGCCGCGACACAACGTAGCCCGCACGATCCTCGGCCACTGCTCGTCGTTCTCCGGACGTTTATCTGTGAATGAAGAAAACATGATTTATCATCAGATACCGATAGTATACCGCAGTCACAGTCAGATATTGATGGTATATCACGGTCGAATACGAAGAGAATAATTAACTGTGATTGGTCAATTTTTTAAGGCTTAAAATATCTATTGTGAATCGACACTTATGCTCTCTAGAAAAATATGACTTTGTGTGTTAAGAGTGTACCTTTCTTCAGCACGACGTAGGAATAATTTTCCGACTTGTGTTGCGGCTTTTTCAGAAACGGCAGAGGGTGGTACAGAACGTTGAAGTTGCACGGAGTCTTCTCGCCGAATCTCGGACACTTCAAGTCGTGCGGGCACTGGCAATGAAAAAATGAAGATACAAGTGACGCGCCACGCTCGAGAGTTTCCAGTCGTTGTTCGTTAATTAATTGATATACTTACAGGTGAAAATACGTAGGCGTTTTGCTGATCGCCGCGCCGGTACTTCGATTTCGTGTATCTGAGGACTAAGTCCCGCGCTTCGTTCACTAACTCTCGGAACAGACAAGAGAGACGGTAAGGGAATCGTTTCAAGTGGAATAACAAATAGACTCGATGAGCAATCGGTTGACAATCTGACGACAGACTGGCGACAGATTCGAGCAACTCTGACGACAGATCCATAGTTATCTGCTGTATATACGCGCTTATAGGGTAGGAACGACAGATCCTGCTTGATTTCTGCCGTCAGTCCGTCATCGTATCGTCATCGGATTCTGTTATATTTCCGCCAGTAAACTGCAGCACAGAGTCTGCAGCAGACACCGTGCGAAATCTACTGTCTCGCGGATTTGGCTATCCGGGGAAATCTTTTAGCATACCCTACCTCGAATCCCGCATTGGTTCCTTGCTCTACAATAATGAGGTAGCGTTCAGTTTTCTGCCAGAGCTTTAATATAGTTTCGAGACGTGATTCCGTACCGGGCAACTCGAATAAGGAATACGCGCTCACTACGATATCGTAGGTAGGCTAAAAGTAATAACAAATGTTTCAAGTTACATTCGTCATAGGAAATTTCAATGTATAGTGTTTTGTAAGTTTTCCTCTTACATTGGGAGATGCCGGGAAATATTCTCGGTGAAAGATATTCTTGATTTTAGGTTTGGCAACTTTCGCCAATCTCTCAGACAATTCGATCATCGGTTTCGACGTCTCTATGCACAGGTATTCCTTCAGCGAATTTGGCCAAATCTCAGAAGCTGCCCTGTGGGTAATTTTTTAAATTTTTATCTTCATGTTACGGTAATTAATTTTATTTTACGTTACAATTTCGTGTTCCCTATAAGCACGTAATATTATTTAATGTTATTGTAATATTATATACTTTTTAAATATTCAACTCTATGTATATATATAATATATATAATTGTAGTTTCTTTATTTCACACATATTGCAATACCAATTGTTTTATTATATAAATAAAGTCGGAAGAGTTTTGTGTGTAAAAATACGTTTTACACTAAAAAAAATTATCTGTATATTTTTCTTCTATATTATTATTATTTTATTTTTTTCCAATATTCTAAGAACATTTTTATAATATGCCAAGAATATATCAATAGAAAATGTCTATATTATGAAAAAATGTTACATAACATTCCTAGAAGAATATAATATTCATTTTAATATTACACGCTTGTAGGGTTGTTTAAATCACAATTGCCTTGCTTCTACACACTCACCATGTGACCGTACCGAGGCCGGAACCGAAGTCAAACAATGTCTGAGGCTTGAAGTCTTCATCACGTATTCTGATCTCTTTTAGAATTTTGTGCGAGACCGCATAATGTTGAACAATTCTACCTACCATGTATGTCAGGCAAGTGAGTTTGTCAAAATTTATCGGTTGCCAGTTGTAGACATTTTGCTTCAGGAGAAGTTTAGCTCTTCTATTCTTCTTGAAATCTATATCCTCTATGCTCACTTTCTCATCGTCATCCTTATTAACGTTCAAACATTTCTCCACTTTTAACAGCTTCTCGTACAGCTTTGCTTCTTGTATGGGCTGATGACGACCATTCAAGTGATTGAGTAATTTCTCCGCGCTCTCTTTAATCTCCTTCAAGGATATCTGGTGATCTGGAAGGACGACAGTACAAAGTGACATTTATAATTGAGCTTCCTGTAAATATTCTAAGCTTAATCTACAAAAGGATTAGGATTAGGAGATCTTATTATCTATATTATTTGTACCTGCCAAAATATTAGATATTTCTTTCAATGTCCATTCGGGAAATGTCGGTGTCCTGGGTTTAATAATGCCTGGATGATTTCTATGCTTTAAATCCTCGTTAAACACCAGAGAGGAAATCATCTCAGGTGTCGTCTTTGGCTTTGCTGAAAACTAAATGCAAATCTAGTTATTGCACCGATCCTACTTAAGATTCTACCTGAACAGTCCCAACAAGTGGACATTATATATCATATTATATTATATGTTATACTTACATGTCGCAAGAATGTAAATGTCATAAAACGTATCCTCGATGCAACCAGTTTCCCCATATTTACGATAAATATAACAATATCAACAGGTCAACAAATTTGCAGAAATTCACCTCCTCAAAACGTTCGGATATCTGTTGTAAAATGTAAGCAACAGTAAAGTGAGAAAGCGTATTTAAACATTTGAACACGCGAACGCATTGTTTTCACACCCATCGAACTCATCATTACAAAACTATCTGTAATGCCGTTATCTCAAAAGACATTATTCTACTCACGAAAACCTCAGACAGATCTCACGTACGAGATACACAACATTTTTCTCTGACACCTCGTTGCGCCGTGTTATCGCGGGAATCCTGGATGCTGCGCGTCGAACTCGACGTGAATCTGCGAATCAACATAACCTCTAAAAACGAGTCCAAGCATGCGTCTATACGCGTCGTCCGGTCCGGCGGCCGTCGCTCCGAAAATAACTCGCGATGATCCCGCCTGAGCGTATCATCCCGTCAACTCGCGTTGTGATATCGAGCGATCGTCGATGACTTGTTGATTATTATTTCCGTATTTCCGAAACGAGGCGAGCAAGCATGAAATTCGCCGAGCATTTGAGCGCTCACATTACGCCGGAATGGAGAAAGCAGTACATCAACTACGAGGTGCAGTCTCGAGATGGGACAATTCCGTATACAATATTTTGTATATTTTCTATTTACGTGTTTCGTACGTATTTTGCATCTATGTCTTATGTATATTTTACATATATGTCATATATATATGTATACTGCATCTACGAATATTTATAAAACACACACACACACATGTACATATATACATACACAGAATTTTTATATGTATATTATTTATACTGTCTGTAGGAACTATTCGTTTCTTTTCTATTCGGTAAAATTGATCATTTTCGATTACTCTGTCACAGGAAATGAAAGCTCTGTTGTACGTTGCTGTGGAGCAAGCTCCGTCGGCAGACGTGAGCGAAACGCACGTACTGGAAAGTTACTTCAGCAAATTCGACGAGAAGTTTTTCCAATATTGCGACAAGGAACTCACCAAGATAAACACCTTCTATTCCGGTAAGATTATCCTTTGATGGAGGTATTTTGCTGAGATGCTCTCTCTCTCTCTCTCTCTCTCGATTGGTCCTGTTTCATTGATACACACGCGGTTTTAATTCAGTAAATTTCGTGATATCTAACATTTCATAAGTTCTTTTATCGCTTTTCAGAATTACACTTTAATTTTCATTGTATTTCGCAGCGTTACGTTGAATTTTATGATGACAATTATTTATCTCGAAATATTTTTTATTATATGTTTCAGTAGTTTATCAATGACTTTCATCTCACCGTCCGTCAGATTCGTAGTATATCTTCAAAATAAGGAAAATTAAGGGAAAGCTATAAATGAAATTTAACTGAAAACTCTATCGGGAGAGATAATACAGTAGAGAAACTACTAGTAGAGGATAAGAGATTTTAATAGATGCTGAGGCGAGTAAAAGTAAATGATATCATGTATTTTCAGAGAAGCTGGCAGAAGCGACACGCAGATTTGCCACTCTCAACAGCGAGCTGAGCGAGATCTTGTCGGTTTCCGAGGACGCTAAGACCGGCGATGATCACAAGGCGTCACGCTATCGCAGTCACATCCTGCACAAAAAGCCGGTGTCGGCGGGCAAACTGCAGAAGTTGAAGTGGGCGTTCTCCGAGTTCTACCTTTCCTTGATTCTCCTGCAGAATTATCAGGATCTGAATTTCACCGGATTCCGGAAAATCCTGAAGAAGCACGACAAAGTACGTAGCGAGCGTTAGTAAATGCAACGAATTCAATTGGCATTGTAAACATGCGATCGAAGAGCTTGAATAGAAAAATTTGTAAGAATAATTGAAAAGCAGGATTTTCAGCATGACATTTCCATAGCAGGGATACACGAGGCAATGACATTTTGCAGCTTCTGAATGTGGACATCGGGGCGAAATGGCGGGCGGAGCACGTCGACACGGCGATCTTTCACACTCGCACGGACATAGACAGGCTGATCACGGAAACCGAGACTCTGTTCACGCGGGATCTGGAACAGGGTGACCGTCAACGGGCGATGAAACGGCTGAGGGTGCCGCCGCTCGGCGAACACCTCTCGCCGTGGATCACTTTCAAAGTCGGCCTCTTCTCCGGCGCGTTCATCATACTTTTTATAGCTGTGGTGATATCCGGTGAGCGGAGCACACATATTCTCTCCTCTCTGCGACGTGGAATAGTACCTTATACCGGGTGTCCCCCGTAATATCAGAATAATCGCACGTGGAGTGCGGGGGATTCTCGATAACGAATGGCTCGGCTTCTCGGTTCAGCCAAATTCTGCTCAAATGACAGTTTCTTAATAAGAACTATTTAGAATAACGATCGAATTAAAGGTTAAATTAATTTTAATTTTTTATCCGATAATAACTAATTATTCCGAGGACACACCACCTGTGTACTACTTTGTGCGCGCACTGTATTGATGAAACGTCGTCGTTGCAGCCGTGCGATACAAAAACAACATCAACTGGAGGGTGCTCTGTCGGATTTATCGCGGGCCACTCCTCATGATCGAATTCCTCTTTCTCATGGGAGTCAACGTTTACGGCTGGAGGTCCTCCGGCGTGAATCACGTGCTGATATTCGAGCTTGACCCGCGTAATCATTTGTCGGAGCAGGTATCAAATTCACGTTCTATGGATCGTGGTCTATAAGTAAAACATGGATCACGCATGTGTACTTGCACTTTCAGCATATTATCGAGGTGGCGGCTATACTCGGCCTGGTCTGGTCCATGTCTATTCTGGGCTTTCTCTTCAGCGACACGCTGCGCATACCGCCATTTGTCCAACCGGTAATACAAAGCGTGTCCCAAGCACGATCGGCGCTCAAACTTGCGACATTGATTTATTTATTGATTTTTCCCAACGCGGAGGATACACCTTCTTCCTGCCTCCGTAGAAATCTGTTCCAAGGAGCGCAGGATCGATGGGTTATGAAAAAACGAAAACGAGCTCTTCGCCTCGAGAAGGTCTCACTCCAGCCTTTCGCAGGTGCTGTTTTACGCGCTGCTGGCCTTGTTCCTGTTCAATCCCACGAAGACGCTGCGGCACGAGGCCAGGTTCTGGACGCTGCGTGTCCTGGGTCGCGTCTTCTGCGCGCCCTTCTTCTACGTGAACTTCGCGGACTTCTGGCTCGCCGATCAGCTCAACTCCCTTCACACGGTCTTCCTGGACTTTCAGTACTTCGTCTGCTTCTACATACAGAATTCTTCGTGGACCGATGTCACAGGTAAGCGTGGTTTGCTCGTTATCCGTCACCTTGGCCCGACATATGCCTGCAGCTGGTATATATATTCGTACTTTCGCTTCTTCCGTTCGAGCAGACGCGGAGACCTGCATAATGCGTGAAGTATCGTTGAGACCGGTCGTCGCGTGTTTGCCGGCGTGGTTCCGGTTCGCCCAGTGCCTCAGGCGTTATCGGGACACCAAGGAGGGCTTCCCGCACCTGGTGAACGCGGTGAAGTACGCGACAAGCTTCTTCGTGGTTATCTTCTCTTATCTGCACCTGAGGAACTCAAGTAACTTCCTCGCTCAGTCGTGTCGACAGTTGTTGGCTGTGTTCTCGGTTAACCCTTTCGCGGCCACTGCGATGCCCGTTCGTCGCGAAAAGGTTTAACGGACATTCACAGGGGGGTCCACTCGAGGGAGGTTTCACTCGAGAGAGCTCCTACTGTATTCTGTTTTTTATATATAATCGTGTACATATGTATATATATATACATAATTTTATCGTGTGTATATATATATATAATTTTATGTGAGATACATATTTTACAAAACAGACTACTACGCACTGTCCACGGATAATCCGTACTTCTACCTGTGGCTGACGGTCAGTGTGGTGAGTTCTTGCTTCACGTACACGTGGGACGTGAAGCTGGACTGGGGCCTGTTCGACAGTAGAGCCGGTGAGAACAAGTTTCTCAGGGAAGAGATCGTTTATTCGTCGCCCGTGAGTTCTCTCTTCTCTAACAGACTCGCGTTGAAGAAAAAAACAAAATCAGACACGCACATAATACACATTTATCGTTCGTTCAACCCGTCGACAATACATTTTTCTCCGCTTTGCAGTATTATTATTACTTTGCGATAGTCGAAGATTTTATCTTGCGATTCGGATGGGCGTTTTCCCTGTCTCTGACGGAAATAGGATACGTTCACGCGGACCTTATGGTCTCTATAGTCGCCCCGTTGGAGGTCTTCAGGTGAATGCACGCTTCGATTCGATAAATTCGTGTGCACGTGTGGAATGTGCCGGAATCGATATCGATGTGGCGAATGCTGTTTGTCAAAATGTCGCGGAATTTTTACGCAATCAGGCTCGGCGAATGCAGACTGTCGATTTTCGTTGTTGTTGCTGTTGTTGTTGTGCTCTTTTCGCAAGATATCAATACTTTGGATGATGATTTGTGCACGCACAAAATCGGATTAAATTAATCGACGAATAGTAGAAATCGCCGGCGCTAATTTCCCGTAACTCATTGTTCAACAATGATCGAAATGTTAATAATAATAACTTCTATCCGCGTTGGCAAGATAGAGTGAGTAGTATTTGAGGCCGATGGCAATTTTAAATCGTCGATTCAATTAATCGGAGTTTGACGAACCTGTTGCTCTCGTTTCCAGCAACGTCGATTAAACCCTAAGCTGAGTTGAAATTCTCTTTCAAGATTTCAAATCAGATTAAAGCTTAATCAGTGTTGGCTGAAACGGACAGTTGTAGATTAGATTAATCAGAGTTCGGTGATCTTTACGGCCAACTCCAGTTAACTTAACCGACTGATTAAATTAACGAAGATTGACCAATCGCATTAGCCAATTGGCTAAACCGATCAGTGCAATTGGTCGGTTCCGTTGAGTTAATCAGTCAGTCGAGTTAACCGGACTTGGTGCAAGTGGAGCCTTCGAGCTCGTGTTTTGCACGCAATATCCCTCGCACCGTTGAAATTACTCCCAGTGTTCTGATCTCGACCGCATTCTGTACATAATAATGGAGTGGATGATCGTCGAAAGTCGAAGGTGACTTCCCAGGTAGAATGAATTTTTTCAAGGATCTCTCGAAGACGTCTGAGGGATATCTAAAAACAGTAGAACGCCTTTTAGATGCCTTTAAGACATCTCTTAGTCCACATCTCTTAATCTACAATAGATGCTTTAAGCCCTGAGCCTTAAGAAATTGACCGATCACAAGCGAGTTATAGAAGAATGATCGATTGTGATTGGTCAATTTCTTAAGTCTAAACTTAAATCGTAGCCTATCGTAGACCGGGACTAAAGGCAACACGCGGTGTTCGAGTGAAGAGGCAGTTGGTGATTTCACTGGTTGTTCGTTTCCCTCTCCTTCGTCGCAGGCGTTTCGTGTGGAACTTCTTCCGCTTGGAGAACGAGCACCTGAACAACTGCGGCAAATTCAGGGCGGTGCGGGACATCTCGGTCGCGCCGGCCGACTGCTCGGACCAGACGCAGATCCTGCGGATGATGGACTCCGTCGATGGTGTGATCAATCGCCGGAAGAAGCAGAAAGTCGAGGAGAAGCGCAAGCCGATCCGGCTGCTGCTGATGGGCGAGTCGCTGATGGACGATAGTTAAGCAAAAAAAGAAAAAAAGAAAATCGATCACCTAGTGATCCCCCGACTCCGACCTCCGAAAGTCATCCAGCTGACCCAACTGAAATCAGGAGGGAATTGCGCGAGGATTTCAGCATGTCATCGGGATGTATCAGCTGTTGCGTTCAATGTTGCTGTACGCGAGACGTTATAATTTCAGCGTCTTATAGCCTCTCGATGTGATTAAAGATTACGATCGTCTGTAAGTGTAACGAATCGATGTAATTATTCGCCAGGGTTGCGATGGTACGTGCAAATCAAAAGAAAGACTGCGTCACGAATGTTCGGGAACTGATGTACTCACAGATTCTAAATAAAATGTTTATGATATCAGGTTGAGAAGATGATTTCGGTTTAAGCTGAACTTATCGTCGGAGGGACACGCGGGAATAGTCTCACCTGGGGTCGTTTCATACCCCAGCGGTCGGAAAATGAGACTCACGTCGCGGTGGATTTCTTTTACTGTACGGGACCCGGTGTGTACCTTTCATTTGGACATTTAGAGATCTAATCTAAGTAACAAGAAGTTGACTCTGTGACTCGTATTATTCGCAATATAAGCCTGTAGAAACACATCGACGACATAAAGTCTGCCATTTCCCGACCGTTTTTTCCCGGGCACGCATCGCAGATCCGTCAGTCAGTATCACACTGGAAAAAGGATTCGGTAACAGCTACCAAAATTTGCTGAATATTTGCCGACCAAATGTCCGATTACTGCAACCAAATTATAGTCCCGTGTACTAAATATACGGAATTATAATACTGTTATATATACAGCATATGGAACTAAAAATCACCTGGTCGCCGATAATACAGATGTCTGGCCTGCAAATATTCAATCAAATTTTAGTACTTGATACCAAAATCCTTTTTTTTTTCAGTGTCCACCAGCGACCACCGGCGGGGCATCGAGAGGTGAACGTCCTCGGGCGCGCCAAGTCGGGACCGACCTGGTAACCGGAATAAATTCTCACGTGTCGATACGGGCGTGGGGTGGAGGTGGCACGTGGCGTTGTTGCTTAATAACGACGCGCTTAATAGTGCGTTCTCTCGTGCTAATCGCCGGCTGACGCGTGACGGCAGGAGCGGGAGGAAAAGACCGCCGACGACAACGGAGGAGGAGGAGGAGGAAGCGAAGGAAGAGGTGGAGGACGGTCGGCTCGAGGAACGAGACGCGGAGTAACGCGGAGCCGCCGGTGGAAGGGCGACTCGCGCGCTGCTGGGCTCCCCGGTTTATTGATTGAACGGCAAGTCGCGCGCACGCCGAGCGCGCAAACTCGTCGTCGTCCGCCCCTGAATGAAGTGACGTGCTCTCTCTCTCTCTCTCTCTCTCTCTCTGACTCACATATAGATATGCGAAAAGAACGGCGATAAGGTCGGTGCGCGAAGACATCTTCAGCAGCGGCCGAGCAGCAGCAGCAGCAGCAACGACGACGAGGAGGACGACGAGGAGGACGAGAGGATGCTCTCTCATCGGGGCTGCGCTTGGCTGATGCTGATGCCGCTCCTGTTGAGCCTCTCCACCGGCGAGCTCGGCTTCTACCGGGGTGAGTAGCCGCGCTGCAGCTTGTGCGCTGCGGAGTACTCCGGCAACAACGTCCGCAGGTGGGAACGACGTCGTAAGCGGATACACTGGGTGGACCCTTCCGGGATCTTTCGGTGTCCCGATCTCAGGGTCGACGAACGCTCAGGGTCCACTCCAACGTCACCTTGCGTCCAAACACCCCACGAAGACGTCTTCTACGTTACGTCCACGTCGAATCCACGTAAGGAAGTCGACGTCCGCGTCTATTCCGCGTCGATTCCGCGCGGATCCCACGGATGTCCTCGTAGGGAAGGGATGTCTCCTGGTGCGAATCCCGGCCGGTTTCCGGTATCCCGGTCGGTTCGAGGATGGGGAGAAAAATGTGAAAATCGCGCGACGGTGGAGAGAGTCGCTTCCACGTTGGACGATTTTTCGGATGGAATTCGGCCTTTTTCGGTGATGCGGTGTAAAGAGTGGGAAAGAGAAACCGCAGGAGAGAAACGTGCGTGTTGTCGGGCAGACGATAACCAACGCATCGTTATATCGTCGCGTTTGTTGTTGGTTTGTTTCTTCCTCAGTTCCGTTGTGAACCGAACGTATCGTCCGAAGTGGAAGTCCAGCGGTGTCGAGAGGTTCCCAGGTGGAACGAATTTCTCAAAGATCTCCCAAAGACTGAGCAGAAAAGTCCTATACCGTTTTGCAAATAACACGCAAAATTTCGAGTTACCGGTGATTGAAAATGGCCGCATATGGAAGCTTCTTTAATTAATAATTCAGCAATTTGCGTGTTATGTGCAAAAGTGAGAGACTTTTCCGTTCCGGATAGTCTAGTCTACAAGTATACGGCAACTATTGTACTTAACGATAAGTTCAAGGTTCAAAGGTCAAAGTTCAGTATACTGATGTCTGTCGTTAGGTATAACAATTGTCATATACTTGTAGATCAGGCCACTCGGAACGAGAAAGTTCTTCACCATTTTGCAAATAACACGCGCACTGTCGAGTTATTAATTAAAGAAGCCTCCACAAATATGACCATTTTCAATCATTGATAACTCGAAATCCTGCGTGTTTATTTGCAAAACGATATAGGACTTTTCCGCTCAGTTTCACCCGTTCTACTTGCACACCACGGGAAACCGAGATTAGTTTCGGACACCCTGCATAAGGTGAAAAATAATTACGTAATTAGCGTCGAAAGTTTCACGGAAAATTGCCGGAGAAATGGCGAGAAAGGTAACTCGGGACGAACTCCTGCATACTTCCTCCAGGAGGAATTGCTTTCCGCCTTTAGGGCGCATCGGATAATTGGAATTTTAAAGGTCAGGAGAAAGTTCGAGGGTGGAGGGTAAACTTGCCGGGTTGTTCCCCGAGATTTAGTTGAGAAAATTGTCGGTGGTGTGAAAAATCAATCGATCTTCGCCAGGGCGTGATAATGTCTTTTTTTTTCAGGAGAGTCGAATCGCGCGCGTCGTCGGCGAGCGGTTTCGAGCGGACGCGTGTGGGTGATTATGCGGTGTTTATTGCGGAGAACACGGCGCATATCTCCCGCCCGCAGGAAGTTTATTTGCAGGCGAACGAAATGCCGGCAGGAAATGATAATAACAGTTTCAGGCCGGCGATGTCCAACCGCGCGATTCGACGCGGCCGCTTAATTCGCGACGTCGCGCTTCAGTTATGCAACAAGTTCAGCGCTGACGCGACTTGCAGAGCGCAGCGACGTTGCGAACTTCCGTCCGGAGATCATTTCGCCTAATTTCGGCGAATGCAAAATTCGCGAGAAAAGCGCGAATCGCGAGCTGCGAATCTTATCCCGGTGCGACGGTTGCAGAATCAGCGAGATTCGTCGGCAAAATTCGCGGTACCATATTTATTCTCGGAGGCTGAGACGAATCGAGCGACGTATAACACTGTGACCTTCACGTGACCTTGAATACGAGAAATTCGTGAAAAAGTCGGGCGATCGATGCGACGTTTCTGGAATCACTAGGAGTACCGGAGGGTAACACATCCTCGGATGGAGTCTTCCCGAATGTTGCGACGGAAATGTGTCGAACGTCAACGGACGTCACTTTGAACACTCGTTGTTGAAGTAAACTTCCCTTCGTCGATCATCCCGTCGTTACTTCACTATTCGCATCGATCGCTCGACTTTTAACGAATCCCTCGCATTCAAGGTGAGGTAGAGCGGAGCAACGGCCATGAGTTTTCGCCGTACATTATAAACACCCTGAACACGCAATAATCGAGGTCGCGTTACGCGTTAGATGCGCTGCCGGAGACGTCGGAGGACCTCGCGCTCGCCAAGTACCTGGCCCGTTACCTGAAGGCCCAGCGCCTTCAGCACCTTCAGTACCTGCTGCCGTCGCACCTGCCGGCGTCGTCGTTCCGCTCGATGCACAAGAAGCACAACGGAGTCAGCCAGATGGAGGAGGCGGACCAGCAGCGGCGGCAGAAGCAGCACGAGCTGCTGGAGGTGCTGAAGAAGAGCACCCTCGACAGTCTGCGCAGCAGGGAGAGGCAGAAGCTGAGAACCTGGCCCCATCGGCATTACCATCACCAGTACAACCCGATCGACGAGATCATATCGTCCGGGGGGGAGGATCACTTCGTGAATTACTACGGCGTGAAGGTCGGCTATCCGGAGATGAAGCCGTCGGCGAGCGAAGACGACGGTCAGGTTTACGGGGACGTTCTCGGCCAGTACGGACGGGTCTTCGCGGACGGTGAGGAGGAGCCGATACTGAACTTCCGCGGCAAGTGGATGGAGGGCGACCACGCGATCGTGCTGCACGAGGGTGGCGGCGGGGGTCACCGGAGCACCGGGGCACCGGCGCAGCCGGCGATCGACGAGGCGATGGTGACGTACCGGTTCGACAAGCCGAATCTCGACGACAGGCATCCGTTCGCCGTGAGGCCGAACGATCCCAGATACTACAGCGACGCGCCCTTCTCGTTGGGTGAGTCAGTCAGCGGCTGCTGTCTCCGAAACTTACTCATTAATACTATTATTAGTCGTTAATACTACACTGTCGATCATTTCATTGGTTTTTAATTCGTTAATATTATAGTAATTTACTCTAGTGTCAGTTGTTATATTATAGTGTAACTTATAGTACAGTTCGCTCGGGAAATAGTTTTTCTCGGCTATTTTGAAAATGAAAATGGGACATTGTTGTCCCCGGAAAGCGACTGGATTTCTCTCTCAGCGCGCACCTCCGGGGCGTCGAATCGCCGGAATTCGAAAGTCCGGAGTTTCCTTCGGAGCTTCGAGAAATCAAGTAGATGCGAGTTGACTCGCTCCCTCCCCGTCGTCACCCTCGTTAGAGTCCCGGACGGGGCACCAGCGTCGTCGGGTTGCGCAAACGTCTCCGACGAGCCCTTTTCTCGCTTATTTTTAGCCGCCGGTTTTTAACGATAATAGCCTGACCCCCACAGGTGCTTTTCAATAGCCGTCCTTATCCTTCCTTTCTTCGCTTCTCGGGGAGCATGAATGGCAAGCACGTTGAAGCTTCCCTCGTTGAAACTTTGTAGACGAGTCGTACGGGCGAGACGGAGCGCCCGACCCGAACGAGGAAGAAGCGTTGGACGAGGACGAGGAGGGGCGAGTGTCGACGAAACACGAGGACAACGTGCGGGAACCGAGCCGGCAGACGTCGAAGGACTTGTTGATCGCGGTCGACACGTTGAAGGAGCAGGAAAGCTCCGCGGCGCGTCATCCGTTGATGACGCCGGTGAATCAAGACTTGAACAGCGACATTTATTTCATCGGTGAGCGTCACTTATCGGGGCGAGATTACGATTATCAGGCGGGGCGTTGCTACCAGGGACGTCGTCAATTTTATTGCCCGGGAATGATCACCTTATCGTGTTTTTTCTTTGTTTTCCTTTTAACGTAAACGATCACCCGGACTCATTTGGAGCCCCCAATTAAAAACCGCTATTATCGACAAAATATAGCGTATCATCGATTGCTCTATGATTTATTATTATCCCGGCGTATTGTAAATATAGATTTACTCGCTATTTTTTGAAAAAAAAAAAAACTAGGGGAAACAAAAGTCCACCGCGACGTTTCATTTTTTTTCTGACCGCTGGGGGGTAGCGTGAGATGACCCCCGGGTTAAACGGAGCGGTGCGATCAAACGGAAGGTGAATTTGTACGCGTTTTCAGCCGTCGTCGCCGGCTGCAGCGCAGCAGCGATGTTCGCTCTGGTATTGATCAGCCTGACGTGGTGCAGGTAATGTCAATTACATTACAGCCCGCTGCTCGCGTTTTTTACTTCTCCATGATTTGCCCCCCTCACTTTCCTCCCGCAGGCTGCAACGCGGCGCGAAAGCCGCGGCGGACATCGAGTACCCCGCATACGGCGTGACCGGGCCGAACAAGGACGTGTCGCCGTCCGGCGACCAGAGGCTCGCCCAGTCCGCTCAGATGTACCACTTCCAGCACCAGAAGCAACAAATCATCGCTATGGAGAAGTGAGTCCACCGGGGTGTCCCCCGAGTTTCCCGTCATTTTGTATTGAAGTAAAGCGGCATTCGAGCGAGCTTTCGAGCCGATCGTACGCGTGTTCAAAGTCCCGACTATGAATTACTTAACGCTAAGTCTAATCACTATTTCCTTGCAGTCGCACTTCTGCAACGAGGGATCCGGGCTCGCTTTCGGAAGCGGAGAGCGACGAGGAGAACGAGGAGGGCGACTACACCGTTTACGAGTGTCCGGGACTTGCTTCGGTGAGTGAGTCTCCATTTTACGGTAAACAACCACCGATTCACAACGGTCACTTAGAATCCCGGTATCTCTTGGGTCTTAATTGTCGTTAATTGTCGGATTATTTCGAAGATTAACAGGTCACTCGTTTCTTCGTGAATAAACGTCGAAATCGCGCTTGAAAGGCACCGAACCTTTTTTACTTTTTTTTTTTTTCTTTCGTAGACTCATTAACTTTTATTACATCTAATAGTTTTCCGATCTTACGCGCGTGATGTAATATTATTCGATCTGTACGATAATTCTCCCTGACGAAGACGGGCGAGATGGAGGTGAAGAACCCGATGTTCCACGACGACCCGACACCGGCGACGCCGGCGCACAGCAACAACAAAGAAGAGGACCACATATAGTTTCAGTAAAGTAGAAAGAAAAACAAAAATTATATATATATATACCGTCGCGCGCGATTTGGAGGTATCTTCCCTGGTGCTTAGTTCACTGTTAATGTACCATATCGGAAATGTTTACCTATATATATATATATATTGAGTGTATACAACTTTAATACTTATATATATATGGCGCGAGGAGGAGCGCGGACGCGCGATCAGTCCGATCTCTCTTGGCCGCCGAGAACGACCGATGTCGCTTTCTTTCGTTCTTCTTTCGCTGGGTAATCAGGAAGGAACGGTGGTAAGCAAAACGAATTTGGAACGTACTGAAATAGGGGGGGGGGAGGGGGAGGAGGCATAACGCGATCAACCATCACGATCGATTGGCCGAAAGTCACCGCCAGCAACGGGCTTTCGCATCAACTGATTACGAGATGAGTCGAAGTGATGATACGGAGTGTAAAAAGAAATTTAAGATAAGCGAGATCATCGAGATCACGTAAGCCAACGTGGTGAGACTTTGCTGACGATATATCGTCGTCGTGATATGAAAACAGCAAATGTTAACGATGAATGCGCGTACATCGATGACTGAAAGTGGATACGTGTGGAGAAAAGCGAAGCCTGTTTACCCTGGATGGAAATTCAACTGAAATTCTCTCTCCCGATCAATCCCGTTTCGTTACCATTCCGTCGGTGTTTTCACGCGGTTTTCAGTTAAATTCAGTCAAATTTTGGCGGTACACTTCAACTTTCCTTGTATTCGAGTATTGGTATACTATGAACTTGATGAAAGTTACTGAAAAATTATCGAAGTATATATATTAAAAAATATTCGCAAGTAAATTGTTATTTTCATGCGCAAGATAAAGGAAAATTGACGGACCAGACGTGGGATACAATTTTTCGTGTTGATCGGTGTAATTTCTATCTTGTCTTTCCTTTTGCGACATCGGCACCGGTTCTTCTGGCGCCGAAAATGTTCAGACCGTCGATCGAGGTTTCGCGTAGGAAAGAGGATCGGGAAGGAGGGAGGATAGGAGGGAAGAAGGAAGGAGAGATCCGGAGGAAGAGAATCGGAGTTGATGAATCGACGACGAGGGAAATTGCGTCTGTCTGAGAACACCCGTTTTCTAACGTCGCGACGTACATACTATATATAGTTTGTACTTTCATAGCAGGAGCAGGTGTGCCGCACAATCGTCGTCATTATTTTTCTATCGGCTCGTCATCTGGGCCGCGCGCACCAGATGCCCTGTAAGCGCGTAATGTTATTTAATATCAAGTAATGTTACTAGGATATTCTCAAAATATTAGACGTAATATTCTAATAATATTCTAGTAATATTATCTAATATTAAGTAATATTTATGGAATATTAACGGATGGTTATATGTCCACTTTTTAATAATATTTGAAAAACAATATTATTTGATATTATTGTGACATATATTTTTCAAATATTCAACTCTCATGTATATATATAATATATAAAATTGTAATTTTTACTTCAAATATATTGCAATACCAATTGTTTTATCATACAAATAAGGTCGAAATAGTTTTGTGTAAAAGTACGTTTTATACTAAAAAAAATTATACATATATATATATATTTTTTTTTCCTATATTATTATTCTTTTTTTAATATTTTAAGAATTTTTATAATATGCCAGGAATATTGTGTGAAGTGGACATGCAACATCGATAAAATATTCCTGTAATGTTAAAAAAATATTACATAACATTCTTAGAATATTACAGTAATATTATTTAATGATTTAATGATTTAATTTAGGAATATTATTAATATTGAATAATATTCATACAATATTCTAGGAATATTACGCGCTTACATCCGGGCACGCGCGCACATCCGGACGGCGGTATACCAGAATCCATTTGTCCGTTGACTGTACTCCTTTGAAAGTAAAAAAAAAAGAAACAAGAAACTGTACGACTTACTTGGAACGGTTTACACACCTCGCTGTTTCGACTGTTTATATTATTATTATCGATCGGACATATATATATATATCCCGCCCATATATATATATATATATGGGCGGGAAAAAAGTTGTGCAGTATTATTATATAATTATATAATTATGCGTCACGCAAGAGAAAGGGGGAGAGAGATTTAATTTATTACATTCCTCTTAGTACGTATGTAAAGGCGTAAGTGATAGGCGACGTTTCGCGGAAACATTCGGACACATTCGTTTTATACGCGAGGAACGAAAGCGACGACGATGATGATGACGATAGATCTGCTCGGATGATTTCTACTTAACGCGATCGCCGATGTCTCCTCATGGAATTGCGAGGTATTATTAGTCGTAACGCCGGAACACAGGTGAAAAAAAAAGAAGCGTAATTCAATTTGACTTTGCGTTCGCACATTTACATCCTATAGTTCGCCTTATTAATTCCAGGGAGATAAATCCAACGGCGAGCGTCAACGACGAGTTCCTTGCGAAAACCGTTTCAACCGCGCGATAATATTTTACCTTCTCTCTCATTGTGGAAAGAAAAATAGTCGAGTAATGATATAAATATCTCTCGATCTTCCGGAGGAAGCGATCCGTCTGCGTCTTTTCGTATTATCCGACACGGTTCTACTTCTTTCGCGACACCCTGTAAACGCGTGACATAATATTTATGGAATATTAATAGATGGTTATATGCCCACTCCTGATAATATTTAAGAAAACAATATTATTTAATGTCATTGTAATATTATATATTTTTTGAATATTCAACTCTACGTGCATATGTATATATATTTTTTTATTTATATATATTTTTCTATATTATTATTTTATTTCTTTTTTAATATTCTAAGAACATTTTTATAATATGCCAAGTGTATTACGAGAATATTATTTTAATATTGAATAATATTCAAATAATATTCTAAGAACATTACGCGTTTATAGGGTATACGCTGACGAACGATGATACTTTCTATCCGTGTTAAGACATTCGTTCAAACGTGTAAACGAGCTGTTGTGTCAGATGTTCTTTTCTCGTTCGAATCAATTGTTGTGTTTTGCCGCGAGATCTGTCCCACTTTTTTAACGAAATAAGAAAGTCAATAGCGTGAGCTGTGCAAGCATACAAATTCAGTTGTATGTTTCCTCGCACTAACATGTACGATACTTTTAGAGGTACGATATTTCTTTATAAACAAAAATCTCACATATGCTTGCTGCGTGGAAACTGTTCTCCCGGCAGTTCCAATTTACATACATATACACGTGCATATAAACACACGTACACACATACACATACACACACACACACATTAACACATATACGTGTAGTATTCGTTGGCTTAAAAGGACAATATTTTATTTTTCTATGATAATCGTCATTGTTAGCTGTATGAAGAAAGGATTTATGAATCGCTGTAATCCTAAGTCAAATGCAGAGCTACTATTTATTTTTAGTAAAATATCAGATGTCTATATTTAACGCAAAACGAATAGGAGGTGTGTGTATACTCTGTCTTGCGTTATAGCTGTTACGAGTCCTTCTATTTCGCCATTTATGCTGGACAATATAAGTATATGTGGTGTGAGATCTCATCATATAAACGATTTCTTCCTTTTCCCACCGCTAATATATTTATCGGACAAATGAAATATGTACCTTAGCAGATGAGTGTGACGATATGTTAAAGCATGAATCTATGTTTTTCATCTACTTATACTAATACTATGACATATATATATATATATACATATATATGTATATATATATTGCGCCAGTACATTAAAATGCATAAGCAAAGAACACTATGAAAGGACAATTTGTGTACAAATAGACTATTGAGATAGCGATTTATAGCATGATTGTGCGTGTTGTATCTCTATCCCGGAAATAGGAAATCATTTATCTCAATTGCAATTAAATTTAATCCCAATATCACAATTAAAATTGTACTTTACCCTGCAAACACTCAAATCCGTCTCTACTTAAATTGTAAGCGAAAAATTATAAATATTTTTATTTCTATTTCACACTAATCAAAAACTAGCATAAAGTATAAATTACACACACAGATAATGTATTATGATTTTATTAAAATAAATTGTTTATTTAATAAAGTATCTTCCTTCATATATATATATATATATGTATGTATATATATATATATATGTATATGTATATATGTGTATATATATATATATATATAATTAAAAGGTGTTTTAAAAATACTTTTCTTTCTCTCTCGTTAATATATATTTATATATATATCAGGTAGAATAAATATAAAAATAAAAATCGCTCAGTAGAACGTTATTTTTTATCGTACTTGTTATAATTAGCCTCTCCCCCCCCCCTCTCTCTTTCATGTTTTATTTTCATTATACATATATACAGGGTGTCTGGTATGTTTCACACAATCATGTGAAGGTAGAACGGATTAAACTGAGCAAAGAAGTCTACCATTTTGCAAACCATTTTGCAAGCTATGCAAAATTTCGAGTTATTATTAATTGAAAACGGTCATATGTAGAGATCTCTTTAACCAATAACCGAGTGGCCTAATCTAATGCAAGTATGTGATAACTGTCTAACGGACAGGTTTCAAGGTTTGAAGTTCAATATATGTCTGTCGTTATTGTTTTGAAGTCGATTTAATGTCAATTCGATGCATATTTCTCGCTGGGAAGTAGTGTCAAAATTGCATTATCATTGACGACACGTGAAATTATACTGCATAAACAAAAAAAAATCGTACGTGTTAGGAATATGGAAAATGTCGGGAATAAGAAAAATGTTTTGCGCTTACATTCATCACAGATATAAAAATAAAGTATCGACTTCCTTTAATTGAGATATAAAATTTAAAAAATCACTCCGTCTATGCCGCGTCTTGAGTATCTAATAATATTACATATATATATATATATTTCTTATCGTCAGTATATAACGTTATTTTATACGTTTACGAAATTACATCCTTACCATAACGTTACAAACTACGATTTTTATTGCGTGTGCCGAAAATAAGTCTTTCACTCCCGACAAATCACATATACATATAAAAAAAGAAAAGGATTATTAATAAATACAAGAAAATGTATACAAAAACATCATTCTTCACTTCTCCGACTTGATTCTCTTGCCCAGCGGTATCACCTCGGTCTCTTGCAGATTTCTCCGGAACTTCTTGTAGAACTCGAGCACAGCGGTGTTGGCCCATACCTGCTGGCTGTCGAAGTCCAGGATGCGCAGGCTCTGCAAGCTCTGAGCCCGGGAGAGCGCGACGTACGACTGTCCGGCGTCGAACACCCTCGACAGGCACATTTCCACACAGTCCAGGGTCAAGCCCTGGCTCTTGTGGATGGAAAAGGCCCAGGCTAGCTTCAACGGCACCTGCTTCCGGTGCACGAGGACGCCCGAGCCGCTCCTCAAGCTCCACTTCTCCATCTTCGCCTCGTAGCGCGTCCCGGAGCGCAACTGAACGATCGGCACGTCGTTTCTGAAGTCGACCACGACACCACGAGCCCCGTTCACCAGTCCGCTGGTGATGTTGATATTCCTCAGCAGCATGACCTGAGCGCCCACTTTCAGCACCAATTTCCCGGGTATGCCCAGCTGCTGATCCAACACCTTCGTCATCGAATCGTCCGAATCCAAGGCCGTGTACACCCTGGCCTCACCCTTGAGCTCGCCCAGTTGAAACTCGTTGATCTCATCGGCTTCCCTGACGTGTGAGCACAGCCTGGTCGCCAGCACTCCGTTACCTTCGATCCTCTGTTTCGCCGTGCCCTTCAGGGTACCCACGATCTCGTCCGTCACCCGGCCGATCCTGATGCTGTTCAGTATCTTAACGAACGCCTCGTCCTTCTGCCTGTGAACCCGCCTCAGCTCGTAGTTGAAGTGAACGCACTTCTGCCACGCCTCACTCTGGAAGCAGAACTTCGCCCCCCCGGCTTCGGTGCTCTTCGACACGGGCGGCAACTGGAAGAAGTCGCCGCACAGGATCAGCTGTATCCCACCGAAGGGTCGTTCCGTACGACGCACGTGTCTCGCGATCGCCTCGATCTTGTCGAAGAAGTCGCCGTCCACCATGGAGACCTCGTCTATCACCAGGTGCTTCGTCTTCCGCCACACCGCGGTCGAGGCGGGGCGCGACGCCAGCTGGAGGCACCTCTCCATGGTGCCGGTGCCCAGGCCGATGCCGGCGAACTGGTGCAACGTGATGCCACCTATGTGGCAAGCCGCCACCCCGGTGCTCGCGGTGGCCGTCGTCACGTCCGGCGGCAACGCCGAGATTATCTTCCTCAGCAAGTAAGACTTGCCGGTGCCCGCGCTCCCGGTGAAGAACACGTTCCTCCCGTTGAGCACCGCGTTCAAGATCGCATTTTGCTCTTCGTTCAGGTCACCCATAGTGGGGTTCTCGTACAGTCTCTTCGCGGCGGGTACCTTGGCGGTGTCGCCGTTGCAGTGTTTCCTCTTCTTGACGGAGCCCGGTGACGGAGTGGTGGCTGTCTCACGTGACGCAAGCAAAGCTTTCTCTCTGGCTTTGTTGACCTCCGTGCTTGTGGCCGGACTGATGTCGCTGGTCGCATTGCCCGGTTGTACATTCAGCAATTTCTCCTTCAGGGGCTTCTTCAACGTGTCCTGACCCGTCAGCTTGACGAAAATCGTCTTCAGGAAGCTGATCAGCTGGGAGGAGGGCGCGTTCGACAGGAACAACGTGCAGTTCTCTTGTTCTCTGAATTTGATGGATGCCTTCCCCTCGGTCATGAATTTGTTGAACACCGACACACCTCTCAGGGACAGTCTCGTCCGAGTATTCGCCCTTTCCGCGCACACGTCGATGAATATGTCGCGCTTGCTGTCGCGCGTCAAACGCAGAGTGGCCGTCCGGTGTGTCACCTTCCGCAAAACGGATCCCTGAGCGTTCAGCCACTCCACCGTGGCGGAGCACGTCAGCGAACAGCCGTCCGAGTCCATGTCCTTTGAGAGACGGGGTGGTTACCTGGCGGGAGAATGTCTCGAGTTAGCATACTTTAAGGATGATATATACTTTTACCGTTAATTAATATATCACCTTGATACAATCACCGGGACGCTTCGAACTTCCGCCGGCGCTCGCACGCAACACGCGAGTCGAGCGAAGCTTAGCGTCCAGTCAGGGTCGCCACATGGCAGAAGCTGGATTTCCCCAGATCTCTCGTAAATCTTCCGGGCAAAATCATCGATATTTTTCCAAACATCGATACTCGTTCATCGAGGACGCGTCGTACGAGTTTGTCGGGTGTGCCGATTGGCTGTCGGCTAGAGAGTTTCTAGGGTCCCTGACACTTTCTCTAGATATAATATTGTCCTTAATGAGCGCTCGAGGGGAATATTTCTTGAATCTTCTTGTTGAATGACCGAGAAATATCGGTTCCTATTAGCCAGGATATCGCTTTTTTCCTTCTTCTTCTTGTTGAATGGCTGAGAAATATAAGTTCCTATTAGCCAGTTGGATACCGCTCTTCGCAACTGTTTGATACGCCATCTACGTACATTTTCTAAGACGGGGAACTATTTCGCTGGGCACTTTCTAATTCTGCCGATACAGTTTCCGTTTGAGCCTCAGTGGAGAGTCGGTGACTCGTCGATGCGTCCATACATTCCTGCAAACGCGTAATATTATTTAATATCAAGTAATATTCCAGGCATATTCTTAGAATATTCTTAGAATATTAGACGTAATATTCTAATAATATTCTAGTAATATTATTTAATATTAAGTAATATTTCTGAAATATCAATAGATAGTCCTAATATCAATAGATAGTCTACCCTAATAATATAAGAAAAATAACAATATAATTTAATGTTATATATTTTCTAAATAGTCAACTTTACGTATATACAGGATGTCCCGAAGTAACCTTACCAAAGCACCTAGGAGTGTAGAACATTGAGGTAAACATAAAAGTCCTGTATCGTCTTGCGACATTCGCAACAGTTAGCGAAAAATTAATTATTTTGTCTGAGTTAATGGACGCACGGGAAGAGGTGGGCCGGACATTGTATGAAGAAAATGACTTCTGAAAGTCTCTAAGTAAAAATGAGAGTATCAATTGATTTCTAAAGGCGGAATAATGCAGAGCAAGCAGCGAGCGGCAGGTATGACCACACGGCTGTGCGCCGAAAAGAAACGCGCCTCTTTCGCTATCAGCGATCTTCTTTTCTTTCGAAATTTGGGCTTTATTTAAAATTTGGGCTTGATTTGTACACTTAATATTTCTGTAAAGTTCAAAGAAGGATATTGAAAAATTGACGGACAAAAACGGGGATTTTGAATATAAAAGTACGCCGGCTTGAAATATCGTTGCTACGGCGCGCGAGGTCTTCATTTACTGTCCGGCTAAAAATCACTCGTTTGTAAGGTAAATTGCAACGTTATTTCTAAAAAAGAAAGAGTATCTTCAGGGCAACCAGACATTGCAATTTGTAATATTTAACAATTATTACGACTCTCGAAGTCGTGTGAGGAACGTCTTTCATCGGAAATTACGTTAACTTCATTGCTTAGAGCGAAAGACCGAAGAAAGCCCATTTACACACGCACACACGCGCACTAAGAAAGAAAAGATTTAAAAATAATATTTGTGAAATATAAAATTTATTTCGCAGAAATGAATGTTTACTCAAGTACAACGAAATGCGACTTTATTCCTAGCCAATAAAGCAGCTAATACAAAAAACTGAGGTGTGTTTCTCAAGAACGTATATTCCGTCACGGCGGTGAAATCTTTCTCTAAACAACAAATATGGAAGGAAAACTCGACGAGGGAATATTTGCTCCGCGAAACGTCTATTTCTTCCACCCGGTGCGCCGTGATCCGGACTGAGAACGTTGGAGCGGCGGGAAGATCCGGCGAGTCCGCGGAGTCGAGCGCAATCATCTCGATCGGGCTCCGATTGTTGTTTACACAAAAGCGGCGATAAAGCGCGGGCGAAGCGGCGGCGAGGAGCGGGCGCGACGTCTCACCCGGGACATCGTCGTCCGCGCGACGAGCGTGCGAGCGAGGGCGACGGAAGCGTCGCGGCGCCGCGCATCCGCCGACGACGCAGCTGCGGGCGGAGCGTCTCGCGGAGGTGATCGCAGCCGGCTGATAGTTTACGCTCTTCGGCGCCCTTGTCGCGATGCGCTTCAATTCGGCGCTCCTCTTCGCCGCGTGTGGTCTGCTCATCCCCGCTGACGCTTCCGTCGCGGCCACCGCCGATGGACCACCACCGGCCGACGATCCGCGCTGCTCGGCTTCGCTCAGCGTTGTCCTGGAGAACAACGGTAGCACGTCGTCGTCGTCGGAAGTCGTCGCCGACGACGTCGACGACGACGGCAACTTCGTCCACGACGGCGCGGTCTACCCGGCCTACCTTCGCTGGAACGACAGTAAACTCACTTACGGCTGCATCTGCCGGATGCACAGGTGCGTGAGGAAGTGCTGCCGCAGCGACGAGGTCCTCCGCGAGGATCTAAAGAAGAAGCCGCTTTGCGTGAAGAAGCCAACGGCCGACGGCAACGAGTCCGCCGAGACTCCGGCGTTGCGCCTGACGAGGGAACAACTGGCCGAGGAGATCTGGGAGATCGGCGAGCTGAGCGAGCACTTCCGTCTGATGGAGGTGCGAGGTGACCCCTGTCCCGGTCAGATACTGGTTTACAACGTCTACGAGGACGAAGAGGAGGACAAGGCGACCCTTCGGGCGGACGGTGACCTCCAGTTGGACGGTCCGAACAAGATCGTGCCGCCTTGGGATTATTGCCTCGACTGGAAGATGACTCTGGACAAGGTCGGCGTGGTCGTCTGCTTCTCGTCGCAGATGGACGAGGAGCCGAGCGAGGAGCAGAACCCGGTCTACCACGTCGGCATGATCATCTCCATCCCGTTCTTCATCGTCACCTTCCTCGTCTACGCCATCACGCCGGAGCTGAGGAACCTCTACGGCAAGACGTGCATGTGCTACATCATGTGCCTGATCAGCGCCTACTCCTTCCTGATTCTGGCTAATTACCACCTCTACGCCTCGATATACTTCCCGTGCATCATCGTCGGTAAGCGACCCGGTCCTTCGTTCGTCCTTCGATGCTGCTGTTAGCTGTTACCTTCGCGAAAGGTAGCGGAAAGTAGAAAGTCGGGTTTAAGGGGTTTCAGAGAGCCCTTCGGCTGTAAATCGCCGAGGATGGAAAGGATTTCGAATGTTAGTGTTTACGGCCACTGTTATCAGACGCAGCTTAATTTCCTTGACTCCCGGGGAGCAGCTTTGCAATTCGACTAATCCGTCGATCGAATTACGTTTAAGGAACGTATTGTTCTGTAAAAGGTTTCTTTTGCGACGTCGTCTCGCTTGGTTGACCCCGAACAAGTACGAGCCCGCGCTGGTCGCGTTCGTCGACAATAACGAGAACAGACGTGGAGTTTTGAGCGCGTGTCTGTCAATTGAAATTTCGCTTTATTTACGCTTACGTTGCGACGCGTAACTTTGAATTGAAAGATAAATGTTTGCGTGGAAAATGATTGATATTGTTGACGAAAATCACGGTGGGTGAAACAAGCGGCTCGACACCACGGAAGGTTCCACAGGTGTCAAATCACTCGTTTCGTCCATCGTTTTCGTGAACAATATTCAGATTTTTCAGGCGCCGATCGACACCGGAAGTTCATTCTAATCGAGTAAACGCGAAATTAGCAGCTTCTCTTCCCCTCCTAATCTGTATTCTGTTAAAAAATCAAAATGCGTCTGATTACGTAGTCGAGGAGTGTAGATTCAGAGGGGCAACGTAGGGCGGACTCTAATCGTCAGGTCTCTCGAGAGCGCGAAAATCATCATCGCGTTAACACATAATCGCTTCGCGAAATCAAAGTTAATGTACTCTCGTCATTATTCTCTTCCCATTAAGCCCGCATTTCATTCCGCGTGTGATTCTATTACATCACCGTGTCGAAATAAAATATAAACTTGGAAATTTAATCTCGGAGGTGAGCACGAAGGTGAGCATGATGTTGCGCATTAATTAAAGAGGGGAAAAGAACGTAGGGGGGATAATACCACTTTATGCCTTTGTGGGATAAACACCACTATGATCCTTTTTTTTAATTCCACTAAGAAACAAATGAGCAAATATACATACATATATATACAGGGTGGGCCAAAAGTCTGGATACAGTCGAATGTCTCGTAACAAAAGCAATTTTGAAAAAGGATGTTTCGAATAAAAGTTACAGAGTTTTAAAAGATCTGTTTATTGATCTCATCAGTTCGACCCTGGATGGAGGCGTCAAAATCAAACGAAAGTCAACTTCATTTCTTTTTCTTTTTAATGGAATCGTATAGCTTTCGTAACACACAGGTCGATTCCTCCATTCAGTCCGCGCATAAAAGCACCAGGATAGGATCATCGAAGAATGAATGCTTCTCGAGATATTTTAATCTTCATTCCGCACAAAATATGAAATATCTCATCAAGTACTCGCTTTTCAATAATATTACCTAAACGCTTTTGTATGCAGAATGACGAGTGGAATCGATCGCTGAATACGTGAAACTTTCTCACGAACGACTTTTTGATTCGACAAGTATTTTTAGACTAATTGACTTGTCACACTTTACATATAAGCCACTCTGTGTATATGCTATATTTCACATATATATGTGTGTTTGTGTGTGTAAAGTACGCTTTAAGGAATTTAATATCGAAGTCGAAGACAAACTTGAAGCGTCGATAACGTAAACGTAATCCTTGAAATGCTTTACGTAAACATTGGCACGACCACCGCTATTTTTTTGTATTTCTTGTACATATGGATTTTATGTAAATATGTGATATAAATGTGAATGTGCGCTACTCTATTTTGCCATATCTAACTGGAAAATCTAACTAAGATATATATAAACATTCCTCTGCAAACTTTTTGCATCTCTTTAGGCTTCGAAATTCAATTGTAAAGACATAAGAATGAATTCTTGGAAATCTTGCTCACTGGAGCACTGTGACGCACTCTCTTGCATATTCTCTCGTTACTTTCTCTTTCTTACGCTCTTCAAGAAAAGAAAAATCTCCGTTACTATCGGACGAAGATTGAATATCAGAAAGATTATGCGCAGTAAACTCTATACATAACTCTATACAATAACTCACATGCGTAACAGTGAAAAATAAGAGAACAGACAGAGATACTTTTTGCAAGATAGTATATTGCAAGATAGACGCTAAAAATACAAGCTTCGAGAATAGGATGAAAAAACGGATGATAAAACGGATGGAAATCTCGAGTTCGCCGCCAGGCGTGACGGAAAGGTTGCGATTTTCATAACGAGCTTTTTCGGCCGACGTAACGAAAGGGAGAATTTGTATACCACAGTCGTTTGTACGTAAATACACATATACTCGCATAAATTGTCAGGTCGAGCACACGTAAATACATATGCACGCACAATATAGCAGTCAGTCGATCCGCAGTGCAAAATGATACCAGCGTCGCGCTGAATCGTTTCGCGCGGGCGCGCGCGACTCCGATATCGCAGCGATTAGGAATGAATGATTCAAGCCTGTCTGTCCGCACTTTCCGATACGATTTAATCCTTCGGTGTTCGCGCGAACAGCGCGGAAACAGCTCGTGAAACGCGCGATCAATACGATCAAGGAAATTCGTTTCCACGAGGAAAGTCCGGGGATCGCGGGCGTGAACGAGTAGGCGCGCGAGTAGGTCGACGCCACTTGAGCCAACACTATCTTCGATTTCCCGTAAAACAAATGTTAATAATTTCCACACCGACCGCGGTGATGCGGTGTGAGATACCGACGAGACCGGTTCTCGTATATTCCTCGCCATAACAGCGGGAATATCGCATACAGGGTGGGACAGAAGTCAATTCGTTCCTCTCGACGCGCTCTCTTTCGACTTTTCGAATATTCTTCCTTTCCCTCGCTCCACTCTACGCCGAGTGTGATGCGTCAAATCGCGATGTTTCATCGCAGGATTCAGCGAGATTTCCTCCCTGCCGTCCCCTTTAAGCGGGCTCCACAATGAGAATTTAAGGATCGTAAGATCGGAGAAATCGAAACCAATCGCGATCGATTTTTCGACCCATAATTCGACGGTGATCGGTCAATTTCTCAAGTCTTCCGCCCGAAATTCTCATTGCAGAGCCCGGATTTATTCATCACTTCCCCGGAGATCCAAATCTCCGGATTGCCCGTACGTGATGTACGTCTTTGTCAGGCTCACCCGGTCACCCCGTTCTCGCACGACGTAAATCTATTCTCAGGTTTCACACAGTGCTCTTAACCGAGATCGCTCCTGTGTGATGGCCTTTCATACGAGCGATAAAGATAATCTAAGTGCCGAAGCCTAAGTCTAAATTTACGTCGCCGCTGGTGGATCTCGCGGCCCGCCAACCCGATATCCGGCCGAGCCGCGCTTCTTTCTTCTCGGACCGCCCTGTATATACAATCGCAGCAGGTAGGCCGCTTTCCTAGTGGCCGTTGACGACGGCTCGTCCCCGTAGTCTCGCATCGCAGCTCGCGCGACGAGAACGCTGCGTTTTTCGCGCGCGCTCTCTCCTCTCGTCTTTCCTCGTGCGTGAAGAAGAAGAAACCGTGCGAAGAGCCGCCGGAAAGTATCGGCTCTTATCGGTTCAGTGTGAGAGAGATAGCCGAAAGTCAACGTGTAATCGTCCGATCGATAACAGTGCCATATTTGATCTGTACGGATTTTTTCGCACGCGAAATCGGTGAGAGAAGAAGAAGAAAAAAAATCATCGCGATAACCGACTCTTCCTTCGATTTACCTATTTCCGTTCTCATTTCGAACGAAATAAAAAAGATAAAAGCGACGCCGTGATATCGTTATAATGCGTGTGTAACAATGACGATTCGCTGACGATTCGAGAGAGTTCCGTTGTATTCGGTATTTTGGCATGGTTGTTGCGTATCGATTTGCACGAAGATACGTCCGGTGTTCCGAACAATTTCAGCCGGATTAAATCGAGATTGAATTACTGATTCGAAATTATCGAGATAGAATTTGCGACGCATGCACGACAGTAGGACACGTTAATTTTTATATCGACACCTCGCAGCAGGTAACGATGTTTCATTTCCTCGCGAATAATTGATTTCGGCGATTCGACCAAACCGGTTGAGAAGACACCGGATCGAATGCCCGCAGTGTCATCCGTATATATTAGCCGCTATTAGATGTCGTTAAACGCCGTTTGACCGCAAATATTTCCTCACGTGTGAATATATTTGTTCACTTCATTTACCCTCGTGTGACAACATTTCGCGCGGACGACGATGATCACTTTTGCACGCGTAATTTCGCACTTGTATATATTTTAATCGATCACATCATTCACAAAAACGTTGTTCGAGGAGTGATGTTGTTCTTTTATTTTTTTTATAATCTCGTAGATGATCTCATAACAGCTGAATTATAGTTACGTGAGTAAATGATTAGTATCGAATTGAATTCTGACGAGGAATTCCTCCGACAGTCCGTGAGATTTTTACGTATCCGTGAGATTTTTACGTAATCGCACAGTATATTCGTGAGTAGCTTCTCGTTCGGTTCGATTCAGTCGTAATAAATACCGACATATGTTCCCTGTAAATGCGTAATATATTAGAATATTATGTAATGTTTTCTAACATTACAGGAATATCTCATTAATGTTATATGTCCACTTTACATAACAGTCTTGGCACATTATAAAATTGTTCTTAGAAAGTTAAAAAAAAATAATAACACAGAAAAATATATGTAAATAAAAATATGTCTCATATACATATATACATAGGTATGTGTATATATATGCATAATTTGTTCAGTATAAAACGTATTTCACAAAATTATTCCGACTTTATTTATTATATAATCAAACAATTGGTATTACAATATTGGAAATAAACTACAATTACACATATATATGTATATATATATACATAGAGTTAAATATTCAAAAAATATATAATATTACAATAATATATTAAATAATATTACGCGCTTACAGGGTTTCTTCAGTCATTTTATTCAGTCTTACATTTCTTGATTCATAATTCGATGCATTTTCTCCTTTGTGAATAATTGTATCCGTTACATATCGCAAAGATGTCGTTGTTGACATCTCTCTAACAACACATTAGTTTTCACCACGGTTTCCCATCACTCACCGGCTCGTTCTCGGGGTTTGGTTCGGTGGTCCATAACACTAACGGTAATGGGATCACTAAGCGAGGTTAACAAAGCTTAAATTAAATCAATTACATTGTATTATATTACTATTATGTGTTACGGGGCATCTCCGGAGAGGCTTGGCGCATATATAGATATTTTTTTCCACTCCTTCTTCTCCAGTTTGCCAGAGTTTCTTTGCGGTACTTTTACGTGAGTAAGCTTCCGCAGAGCGATAAAATCAGTAGAGCGGACGATGATTACATCCCGGCTCATTAGCAGCCTCCTTAATTAGTACAGAATGAAACAGCGTCCGAGAACGGTGTTCCTCGCGGTGTTCCTCGCGATCCTGAGCACCGTCGAAGGAAACGTCGCAGCGTCCGAGGCGTCACAGGGACCTCGGCGAGAGAATGTTACCGCGGGGAAAGAGAGTGCCATCATCCCATCGTCTTTCCACGAGGAGGTAGAGACAACTTCTCGAGCGGATTTATCGCGCGTCGTCGCAGTTTAACTCAGTACTCGCCGCACGTAGTTTACTCTCGTCGTAATCGATTCTCCGCTCGACGTGGGGATCACTTATTGCGAAGGATCCGGGACTCACCGGGTCTGCGATGATAAATTGACAATAAGATCGAATCCTCGGTAATAATATTTATAAACCGTGAGATAAGAGATATCGGGGAAAAAAGCCGGAAGCGCGTTTAACTTGTCGTTCGCCGGAAATTAAATGCGGCCCGAAACTCGCTGAAACCCTACGAGCGCGTAATATTATTTAATATTAAGCAATATTTTCTGGGCATATTCTTAGAATATCAGACGTAATATTCTAATAATATTCCAGTAATATTATTTAATATTGAGTAATATTTCTGGAATATTAATAGACGGTTGTATGTCCACCCCTAATAATATTTAAGAAATAATATTATTTAATGTTATTAATAATAATGTAATATTATGTATTTTTTTAATATTCAACTCTATACACATATATAATACATATAATTGTAGATATTTCATTTCAAATGTATTGCAATACCAATCGTTTTATTGTATAAATAAAATCGAAAAAATTTTATATAAAAATACATTTTATACTAAAAGAAAATGACCAAAATACTAAATTATTAAAATAAAAAAAAATATATATATATATATAACTTTTATATGTTTTTATAGATTATTATTTTTTTAACATTCTAAAGACATTTTTATAACATGCCAAGAATATTATATGAAGCGGACGTATAACATCGATAGGACATTTCTATAATATTAAGAAAACCTTACATATGACGCTCTTAGAATATTATAAGAATATTATTTGCAATATTTAATAATATTCACCCAATATTCCAAGAATATTACGCGCTCGTGGGGAAGTTGCGTTGTAATCATTCGCCCGAACCAGTGACTAAATTATTACGTAACGTGAAGAAAAACGAGATCCTTCCCCTCGTGAGTCGCCTCGTGAAGCCGCACGCAACGTAACGGCATTCCCCCGACGATTCGCGAGCGACCGTGAATTATTACCTCCGGTCCCTTCGATCGCTTCCAATTTCCACGGTGACTTCGAAACCGAGTCCTCTTCAACCGCCGGTCTTAACACCGTCTACGCGCCTACGTCTCTCCCTCGAATTCTGTCGCTAGACCAGCTCGTTAGCCGACGATGGTGACGACAGCGGCACCGCCGGGAAGGCCCGCTTGTCGTTGTGCTGTAGAATCGGCACCTTCCTCACCAGGAACAACGACTGTGTGCAAAGCGCCAACGAGACGGAAGTCACGCTACCGGCGATCTACGAGCCGGTCGGCCTCGCCCCGACGAACCTCACCATCAGCGACGAGCACTTCGCCATCCTCGTCTGGAATCCGTGCGTCGACAGTGAGCGTTACCACCTGGACCCGCATCTCTACAAGGACGAGGCGTGGCGTTTGCTCGCGAACGGCTCGGTGTATCGTCCGGAGGCCGAGGTGGACGAGGACCGTTTCCTCAATTACAACCAGTACTGCCTGGCGAGGACGCGGAATTACACTTATCCGGAGTACCTCGTCTTCTACTGCGAGGAGGCCTATCCGGACGACGAGAACAGCGAGGTCGTCTATTCGTACGGTATGATAGCCTCCCTGCCGTTCCTGGTCACCACCTACGTCGTCTATTGGCTGCTGCCCGAGCTGGGGAACCTGCACGGTCTGACGCTGCGCGGCTACGTCGGCTGTCTCACGGTGGCGTACTCGGTGCTGACGGCGGCGCAGCTCACGCCGCAGGATTGGATCGCGATCGAAGGCTGCATCGCAATCGGTATACGCAGAGTGTGCGATTTCTTCTTCCTCCTCCTCTTCCTCCTCCTCCGCCAGCTAATCGCTGATATTATCGCTCTTAACGCGAAAAGGATCGCGAGGATCGCCGAGAACGCGAGGAGAGAGACGGTTGTTCGGGCGAAATTAATACCCGAATGTAGCTGATTGGGAGGGATCTCTCTCTCTCTCTCTCTCTCTTTTTCTCTTTCTCTCTCGCTCTCTCTCGGGTAGTGACACGATCCTTCTGATCGATCTTCAGAGTTTCTATGAAGTTATTATTAGATGAATGTATGCGCGTACACACGGATATGCGTGTACCACCGGATGAAGAATGCGGTTCGAAATCTCCGACGCGGAGATCGCTTCACGTTTGGCGCTTGACAACTTTCTAAACCGCTTCGTTGGCTGACTTTTACACCACCCGGATTTTCTTTCACGTGTATACGCGAGTTTACGGGAAAATCAAAAAAACCGAGAGTCCCGTCGCCACATCAGGTATATCGCAGAGTTTGTCGATGATACGTTGTAATACGGGAGTGTTGAAATGATGACGATGATGATAATAGCAACACGACGACGAGCGTGTCGGAATTGTACGATTAGTCGCATACGCCATACGATCCGAAGTCGAAGAACCGGATCCCTTGCTTCTCATCTCGCTTCTGCGCTTTTGCTTCTCGTGTTCCACTCGACACGGTTCCGGGTCGGGAAAGCGTTAGGGGAAAACCCGGGTCACTGCTGGACGGGGACTCACTGGAGACGGTTTTTGCTGGCTTGAGTAACATTAACAGCTTACAATAACATGAAATAATATCATCAATCACCGGCCAGTTACCGGCTGGGAACCGGTCCAATTTCCACCCGGGGCCCTTTTCTACCGTTTATCTAACGTAGAAAGTATTACTAATTACAAACACACATTTCACACGGAGGGCTTCTCAGGTACTCCGCACTTTAGCCGAAGCTCGCACAATCACTTGGACGGCTAGTTATCGGCAAATTGACCTCCGATCGATCCCTTCGTCTAATTCAAATTCACTTTGTCCGCGAAAGTCCGGAAATTCTCCTCAGACCATGTTGAAGTAGACGAATGGAATGAAGTAATACCCTGACGGCCCGGTTCATACAATGACTCACTGGCTCGGTGAAACTCGCGTGTCGGAGCACTGAAGGCCCTTAATCAGTCGACTCGTGGGTCGACTCATCGCGCTGCGCCGCGCGTTCTTCGGAGTCCCAGAGTCGCACAGGCCCAGAGAAACGGGTCCAGAGACGGACCATGAAGCTTGACTCAAAGGGATTAACGTCTCCCCCTGTCATCGCATCGTCATCATCGCTGGTGGCCGACTCGGGAGTCCGGCTTATCGAGCCGCCTTATCAGCGCCTTTTTTCCCGACGTTCGCCTCGCGCTCTTCGGGACGAGAAGGTCTTCGTCGTCGCCGTCAAGACGCGCGGACAGTATCGCACATCCTATGTTTCCGTAGTTCGCGGTATCGCTGCGGTTGGGGCTCGACGACGGCCGTCGGAAGGATCGGAGCCGACCGTTCGAAGGGACCGAGCCGTCGTTTCAGTGCATTCCTCGACGCGGTGAGGAAGAGGAAGCTCGAGGATGCGTCGGGGACCGGTCGTGTGGTGCGCGTTTCTTTTCGCAGTCGCCCGCGCGACGGACCGTCGGGGGAGTCCCCCGCGGGACGAGCCGGACGATACGATGCGGTACCAGCCGTACGTGAACTTCACCGGCGGGTGGAACCGCGAGGAAAATTCCACGAGGGCCGAGGACGAAGACGAGGAGCCGGTAGAGCACGAGTTTCGCAGCCAGTACGTGAAGAACGCCGACGGGGAGGGCGATCGGGACGGCCCGGACGAGCTTCGCTCCATCGTGTCGCAGATGGCCCGTCCGGGGAACAACGCGAATGGGATGTGCAACGGCACGACCTGCCAGATCCCGATCTGCTGCGAGCTCGGCTATCGCATGATCAAGGACGTGTGCACGCCGGACGAGGGCGATTATGTTTTCCCGGAGGTGCAGGAGCTCGGCAGGAAAGTCGACGACATCTTCGAGCTGGTGGTGAAGGATCCGTGCAAACCGGTCGGACGTTACTTGTTCAACACCGAGCTTTACCCGGACGACGAGTACGTGATTCTTACGAACGGTTCGATATACCAGCCGAGACGGGACAGTTTCATCGACCCGACGACCTATTGCTTCGCCGTCGTCAAGATGAACAAATACGAATTGACTATCTGCTTCGACGAGTCGAGCGAGACGGTCAACATCACTCAGGAGGAGACCGGCATACCCGTCGGCATGATAGTGTCCCTGCCGTTCCTGCTGCTGACCTTCATCGTTTACTGCATACTGCCGGAACTCTGCAACATGCACGGCTACATCCTCCGCGCCTACATCGGCTCGTTGTTCGTCGCCTACTTCGTCCTAGGGATCTTTCAGCTGGTCGATCCGAACTCATACTCGCAACTCGTCTGCATCGGATCGGGTACAGCTCGCCCAGGCTGTGTATAAACCGGAGGGGTGGGGGTCGATATAACCCTCCGGGGGGTGTATAATCATCACCAGGCGCGATCAGGCATATTCGTTTCACGCGAGTACGATACTCTCTCTGTCGAATGGGAAATTAATCGTGGCTTCGTGGAACAGCGGGGGGAATGTACGGGTTCTCCATTGAGAGGTTTCATTTGAAGTTCCGCGACGCTTTTCAATCTACCGAAGCGTAGAAACTATCGTTCCTTCACAGCTGATCGGTAAAAGGTTAACGAAAATGGAACGATACACTCTTTTCAGCAACGTAGGGAAATACCGAAGATTCTTCACTGGGAATGTGGTGAGAATTTCGCGATCCGTCAAGTTCGTGCCGCTCCCGGTTGTAATGAAGCATCTTCTCGCGTCCAACGATTGTTAAGCTGATCAAATTCGAGCGATCAAGTCGCCGATGCGAAGAGACCCCAACTCACGTATTCGGCTGGATAGATCGAACGTCTTTTTCGAGGACGAAGGCCGGTGGCCACCGTTTCAGCGAATTGCCGTTACCGTTACGATGCTGACCGAATTTCTTTTTCGCTTGAATGATTGGACGATTCGAACCTGGACGACGTTTGTTTCCAGCGTGCCGCGTATAAATAGCGAGACAATCGCGTTATCGCGCGAAAAGTTCCGCGTAATTTCCCGAGAGCGGGGAGACTTTAATCAACCGCCTCGATTGCGCGACATCACCGCTGGATTATTTTATTCGGAATTGTGCGAAGGATAAGGTCTGCGTGCCCAATGCTCCGCGAACGATTCGAGAGCTCGATGGCCAATAATCAAAAGTGTTATTCGCGAAATCGAGCGGCAATTATGCGCAAAACGCGAGATTTTCTCGAAAAAGTGACCGTTCGTAAAGAAAAGAAAAGCCGAGGCGGCCATTTGTCAGATATCGCGTTTCACGCTTAATCGTCTGTACTTTGCATCGGAATAAGAATATCACCACTTTCCCGAAGGAAATTTTTGTTTTTCTAATAATTAAAAATAATGATACCTCTTAATGGAAAACCCTGTACACAGTAAGTAACGGATGGATAATTTCAATGACATGTTGCTATACAGAGAGATGTACGACTAATTTGGACAACATATCGGAAAAAGAAGATTCCTCTTCTTTTTCTTATCGGAATCTCGCGGAAATTGCCTCTCTTTTTCTTTTTCTCTCTCTCTCTCTCTCTCTCTGTGAGAGAGACGTCTTTTCATTCGATACAAGCGCCCACTTGTTGCGCTAATCGCGGCCTCTTTCCATGAATTTTTGATATAAAGGAAAATACAGTGTAGATTTCAGTGGCCGTCTGATAATAACGGTTAAGCTTTCTGTCATTTTATTTAGAGTGACATTGATTTGACATTGAGACGTTATTCGTTTGATTGTTTCAGCTTTCATCATTCACTTCTCGTTCTTGGCGAGCTTCTTCTGGCTGAACGTGATGTGCTTCGATATTTGGTGGACGTTCGGGTAAGTGGCAAAATATTCTCGGGCTGTGTACCGTATTCGCCAATTTCATCGAAATTTACTTGAGCAATCGAAACATAGTGATCATGATGAGCGTGTGTATATGTGTGTATGTGTGACCTTCGTAGTATTTCTAAAACGCCTTGAAACCGGACACTGAAACGATAGAACTGTTACGTTGGAAATTTAAATACCAGTCGCCCCGTGAAGATAAGTTCCGCTACTCGGAGATGTGTATTTTGTCGATATATTCCGGCGACGATTAATTAGCAACGACCCTATTATTATTACACAATTATATTGCATAATTATTTAATCTTATCGTTGCTCACATTACTAATAAGACATTGTTACGTGAACAACAGTATCGTTAACCTCATATAAGCGCGTAATATTATTTAATATTAAGTAATATGTCTGGAATATTAATAAATGATTATATGTCCACTGCTAATAATAATAAAAAAATAATATTATTTAATGTTATTATAATATTATATATTTTTAAAATATTAACTCTATATACATGTATAATATATATAATTATAGTTTTTTATTTAAAATGTATTGCAATACCAATTGTTTTATTATACAAGTAAAGTCGAAATTTTTGTGTAAAGTACGTTTTATATAAAAAAAAAATATATATATATATTTATATATATTTATATATATTTTTCTGTATTATTATTAATTAATTTTTTTAAGTATTTTAAGAACATTTTTATAATACGCCAAGAATATTATTTGAAGTGGATATATAACATCAATAGAACATTCCTATAATATTAAAAAATATTACAAAACATTCTTCGAATATTATAAGAATATTATTTTAATATTGAATAATATCCATATAATATTCTAGGAATATTACGCGCTTATAGGGAAGCTTTTAAAGATACGGTGTACATATATTAATTTTTATTTTTAGATACAGTGCTTATTAGCCACTTTTATTAATTATATGTTGAAATAGTGGCGATCGTGACATTTATTGCGCGCTTAACGAAAATAAAGCATTCGCTATATGGTCCAGGGTCAAAATGGAATGATCGATTCGCCAAATATTTTCATTGGCGCCACTCGACCCGACGCTTCTGGGAGGGAAATTTGATGATTGACAAACATCGGGGGGAAATTGATAGCGACATGACGCGAATTAATATCCGGTACGTGACCGGCGCGCGGTACGAGCCGCAAACACAGCCCGAGTTAATTTCGATCTCCTCGCACGGCCGGTCAGAAAGCAGGGCAATTTGGGCAAAAGCAACATTCGCTGTAACGGCAAAAGTCAAAGACTTCGTATATCGCTGACATACATTGAAACGGCGCTGGAACGTGCGGATCGCCGCCCGTTCAATTTTCTCTCGCCCACTTTTAATAACGCGACTGAAAAGTGACGTTTCCGCGTGCGAATGACAAATTTTGCACGGAGTGGATGTACATGTTGTTACGCAAAATATAACAATTTCTCGGTATTACGACTTTCCGAGAGATTGCGCCGTTTCGTTCGATTTCGTCGCATTATTTTTCAGGACAATGCGTATCCACCGATAAAACCTCTCCAATGGCACAATTCATTGGCGACACATTGGTCCAGTATTGGTCGTATCGGGGGTACATTGGTCGAATTTGTTGCCCGACATAAAACCAGTCAGACAGGCAAATCCGCAAAAGCAGATTTCACATAGCGTCGGCTGTAAATTTTGTCGACAGCCTGCTGGCGGAAATATGTAACAGGTTTCGATAGCAGAACTACGATAATAGACTGATCTGTCCCCGCAATGAATATCGATATAATCAATGTTGGACCAATGTATCGCCAATGAATTGTGGGGACGTCGATTTTAAGTCGCATTATTAAGAACAGATGGAAGAGAATTTACAAGCATTGCTGCCATTTTGTCGGAACAATAGTCGTTAAACGCTCGTCACTCCGACGTACAAATTAATGAAGTACGATGACACTTACGAGGACAGTTACGCCGCAGTCCGCCATACATGGTGGCTCAATTCGAAGAAGCGCCGTCGCAAGAATATAATTCGCGTTCGTCCATCACGTTGCATCACGCAACACACACATATGTTTTGCCACTTTTCTCCCCCCCCCCTCCCTTTTCCCCGTTTAATTACGCGAATTCGCGAGGAGTTTACCTGGATACTGCAAAGTAATTTTTTACCTCTCGCGTGTCTTTTCAATGAAATTTCATGTGACAAGCCAACAGCGCGTCGGTGCCGCTATTTACCGTGCGAGAACGGATGGCTGTCGCCAAGCCCCGTTTTCACGGCTGTTACAAGGGTGTGACGACTGTGTGTGTATGCGTACACGATATACGCGTGCGATACGTTCCTTCTCTCTCTCCCTCTCTCTCTCTCTGACTTGTAATCAATTACAGAATGCGAGAGCGGTCGGGTCACGCGGGGATTAATTTTCCCTCTTTTCCTCGTCTCTCGTGCGTGCGGCCGCCTTTTCGTTTCTATGTACCCATATACACACACAGGCACACACTCGTTACGCGTACTCAACCAACTTCGCGTGTCCTTGCGAGTATTCGCGTGTGTCATCGTCATTTCCCGGCCTGATATGATTTGAACGCACATCTGTGAGTCGGTTTCGAGCGTTAATATAGGAATCTCTTGGCGCGCGCGCTGTCTCTCTCTCTCTCTCTCTCTCTCTCTTTCTCTCTCATACTCTTATCGTCCGCGCATATCCGCACGCATGACTGTCTCTTGTACTCCGTGTACACATGGAGAAAAAGATTTCTTCGAATTTAGCAACGTTTATTTAATTGAAGAGCAAATTTTTCTCTTGGAACAGAGCAAACTAAGCGTACGTTTGATTCGACGAAGGGAATCGCTTTCCTCAAACGATAAGTATCTTTGCGCGAAATAACACGTTTCTCTTGTATTTCCGTCTAAATATTACAATAGTTGTTACAAGCTACTAAATATTACAATAGTTACAATAGTTGTTACAAGATGTTCGAAAGAAGTAATACCAGGGAAATATTGAGAAAACTTCTTTGTTTCAGTGGAACGATATTTAATATATGAATTTTCGAGCGCGGATCGGTTCGGAAAGAGAAAGAGAATCGGAAATCACTCGGACCGCGAAGACCGTTGAATGAGTTATTTAAGGAACATATCCTTTCTCATGATTAATCACTTCAGTATCACACATGATTCACCGCCACGTTTAAATGGCACGCGCGCTGGAACAAAAAAGGAATAAATATTAAAACGGGGTTTCCCGGAAACCAGGACAAACGGCAAATCTTAAATATCCGAATGCGCTTGTTTTATTCATTTTTTTCCTTTTTATCCTGTTATGTTAATATCGCGATGGATAATTTTGCAGGGGATTCCGCTCGTTGCAAGGGAGTGTGAAGCAACGTGAGCGAAAGAAATTCATCATATATTCGATTTACGCGTGGGGCTGCGCCACCGTTCTCACCGTTGTCTGTGCCATTATGGACTTCGTTCCGACCGTGCCGAAAACCTTCATCAGACCGGAATTCGGCCATGTAAGATGTTGGTACACAAGTACGTATATACAAATGAACGTCTTCCGTAATAACATTAGCGCTGGTATCGCCGAACTTTTCGGCAAATTCGGCGGGACCTCAATTAAAATTATATCATTTAATATTAATTAATAATAATTAAATATTATTTAATATTACTTAAGCAATATTTAATACTTATTAAGCGATATTCCGAGCATATTCTTAAAATATTAGACGTAACATTCTAATAATATTCCTAATATAATATGAAAAACATTATAATATGTAATATTAAAAAGTATTACACAACATTTTTCAAACATTATAGGAATATTATTTTGATGTTGAACAATATTCACATAATATTCTAGGATTGTTGCGCGCTTATGTAAAACCTTGTGAAATTTGCGAAACGTGCGCGGAACGCTAACAATTTATCCCCTGTTTCAGCGGACGAGGCGAGGGCGGTGTATTTTTACGGACCGATGAGTGTCACCGTCATCTGCAACATTTGCCTGTTCATATCGACGGCGTTGAAGATCCTGCGGCACCAGAAAGACACGGATCATCATCTGAGGGGCTCGGAGAGCCGACGCCACGACGACAACAAGCAATGGTTCGTATCTCGATTAGAGGACAGCCCCATATTATCCGTCTTGACGATGCACTAAACTGACACGTGAAACTGCAACGATGCGAACATTAATAACATCGATTAACAACGTCTTTTACGGAAACGGCCTCGCATGTAATATCGATCTCCTCCTCGTTCCCAACCGCGGTGATTATTTTTAGACAACGACTTTCCCATGCGGCGGTTTGCTTTCGTAATTACGAAATCTTTTGAAGAAACAAACATACCGTCGCCGTTCCGCCGAGCGCGAGATTCCTGCGGCGAGATGGGCGGCGGAGGGCGCGTCTGCGATCCCGAAAAGAATGACGGACGGTCTTACGAATGTTAAATCGAAGTGAATGCTCGAAGTGAGTGCCAAGGTGAAAGGCACACTTCTTAGTAAACTTCTCAAAAGAGAGGGACTTAGAAAACATACTCGAAATTTGGCTCGTTATTTTCTCACTTCTTTTTTTTTTTTTTTTTTTTTTTANAATTACACGAGATAACTATCGTCCGATGATATTCGCTTCGGCAGATAGCCGAATGGCCTCGTGAACAGCAAAATTATCGATTTTGGCAATTTTAATGCGCTCGTGCGATTTCGAAGATGGCGGTTGGCTTTAATGGTTCCACTTTGCGATTTGGAAGAGCATTAAAGTGTCTTGAAATATCACAAAGACGTAATTGTTGGTCAATTGATTCTAGACTCAAACTCACAGGTTTAACCTTCACCTTTATATTGCAGGTTTAACCTTTACCTGAAGCTGTTCATCGTGATGGGTATAAACTGGTCCATGGAGATAATATCGTGGTTGTTCAAGAGTGCGCCGGCGTACGTCTGGTACCTGAGCGATCTGACAAACACCTTGCAGGGCGTCATTATCTTCATCATATTCGTGTGGAAGGACAAGATTAAGAGGCTGTTGCTGAAGCGATTCGGCTGTCAGGAACAGGGCCTGTTCTCGAGAAACTCGACGCGCAGCGGTTGCCACAGCACGGTCTCGCGTACGTGCACCACCACATCGGGGGGGTTGCCCCTTCAGGAGAAGATCAACCCCTACCAGACGAACTGCCGCTCGAAGAATTCGTCCGACGAGACCGACTGCCCTTAAGTACAACGCAAGGCGGTTCCTTTCGTATAAAAATCGCAGTCTGTAGCCGCTGACTACTAACTCGACAGCGCCGTAATTTTATTCTACGGTCGTGGATAAATTTTACATTATTATTGTACATTGATCTCTCTCTCTCTCTCTCTCTCTCCCTCTCTCTCGATCTCGATCTGTACGGAAAGTGTCTGACAATTAATGACGCAACACTGGCGCGCAGCTGGAGCGTTCAAACTAAACGACAGTCTTCTGCTGTCTTACAGATTTTACAATAATTATTAATAGTATGTTCGAACGTTCGAACACGCCGAATGTTCGAGTTTTCACACTTCGACATCTCATTATCCGGATGTAACGTGTTAAAGGTTTGGAAATTCGATACTTCGAAGACGCCGAAATCGACTTCGAATATCATTTCCAGCCCTGATATGCACTCTTTCTTGTTTCTTCCCGAAACAAACGTTAGAATAATCATATAATTAATATGGTCAACTATTTTTCTTTTAATTACAAGTTCAAATTAAAATTTGTGGAATTTTTCGGGCTCTTAACTTCTTATCGTATAAACACTGCGGACAAACTACGAATGGTTAGATGTGGTTCGACAACACGACGCATCGACTGTGAGCTTACTTATGTCTTCTCGGTATATAATATTTTGCTTTTCGTCATTAATCGTTAGACATCATGTATGTATATTTGAAGCATCGAATCGAATAGTACTCCAACTTTCCGAATAGTATACACGCTCGTTTCTCATTATCCTTTAATTCTTGATCCTTAGATATATATTCTTTCCATGTTTTTTACATCTTTACGATGTAAAAATATTATAAGCATTTTTTTTTTATTTTTATAACATTATTAGCATACGTGCGTCTGATGTTATAATTTCTAGTACTCATAGCTCGTCCTCAGACCTTTAATTAGGTTCATGAAATTTGTATTAAACTGTCATAAACCATTATTTTATATATAGATAAACGTGAATCATACACATATATATATTATTGTTGTATTAGAGATAATAAGTGGAGGAGAATTTGAAGTCGTTTACTTGTCTTGTAACACTTGAATGTGATTGTCTATACGTTAAGATTATCATAACCATTATTTCATTCGGTCAATTTTTATTCTTATTCCCGTGCTCATTCCTGAAGAATTCAAACGACTAGAAATATCACTATATAAGTTATCATAGATGTATTATTGCCATTTTCCGTAAAGTAATAAAAATATGTTACATATATAATTTACGTACGTCAATTGTATGTCATAATTTTGTACAAATTTTACTTTAATATAATTTACAGATACAATTACCATTACGCGCCTATACAATATTTTGTAACACAGTTTTACTTGCTAAGGAGATAAACGAGAATATGTTTTCATAAAATGACGCTATTTTCTGTTATGATCCTGTTATACAGATGAACATACATTACAATTGAGATAAATAATATTTCAAATTATAATGATGAAATAGTTAAAATCATAATGGTAAAACTTATGATAGTTTTTCATTGAAAGAACTTAAGGTTAAGGTTGAGACTTTGATAACACTAATGACACATTCATTTGTGTTAAATTCACGCGAATGCGCCTTCTCTGCGCATGGATTGGGATTGACATTGGATCGAAACGTAGAGAAATAGGGTTTTCCCTTCAGAAAAATAAGGGTTTCCTTCACAAATTGCGGGGGGAAAGCCCTACTTCACTGGAAGAGATCATTATTTTCCTGTGTATCGACAGAGTATCGATACAATATCGATACTGTGCCACCCAACTCTATCGTTCGGCAACTTTTCTCTCTGGGGAGATTTGGGGGAAAAATTGACGGGAAGATTCGGGGAAATTCAGCTCGAGCCGCTTGGCAAACCTGGACTGTAAGCTGACCATAATAATAACAACAGCGGAGCAGGGTCGCGATAGGAATGTACCGAGTTCTTCCTCTCCTTCGTGCGGCGACGTTACGATATTAAAACACACATATACGCAATTTTATTGTGCTCCGACGAACAAATATGAATGACGATTGAGAGACTTCCTCGTCGCTGAGGGGGACTCGGATCAACGAGAACCGAGAACGAGCGCGAGGTGCGCCTTTGGAGGTTAGGATCGAGGTGAGTTCAATTGTCACTTCGCTCGTGTTGACTCGGGAAATTGGATTCGCACGTTGGGCCTCCGTGCGGAGACTGTTTCCTCTCGTTCGACGCGCAATCGTGATCTGATTTTGTCTCGTGCAGACGTTTCTCTACGGTTTGACAAGTTTTCCGCCGTACAGGTTAAGCTTGATTAATCTCTTCTCGCGGACTTCAGCCCGCCGTTGCTCACACTCGATGACCTCTCGGGTATCTTCTCAGTTATCTCATTTTCGGCGATACATATCAACAAGATATCGTGCGGAACGCGCGAATTCAGTCGGCATTTATATTTCACGCGATAGCTCACCAATAATATCGTATTTCTTACGTAATATTGAAAAATCTCCCGCAAGAGGAACGCAACGTTAACGAGAAGTCTCGTTAACGCGCGCGCAGGTGGATCTATTGAATTTATATTTAACTTGTACGTCTCTGAATTGTGTTTCTCGTAAAGATGGGTGTGTTCCTTCTAAAAATAGACCCTCTCTCTCTCTCTTTCACACACACACATATACACACCACCGCTGCTGCTGCTGATGTCAGCGCGTCTCACTAGGAATACAATCGTTCTCACATCGATGATTAAACAACACATTTATCGGTTGACGAAAACGATATCGGAGCAATCGAGCGAAACCTTGGCATCAGCAGCATTTTTATTTTCAATCGTAGTGCAGAAAGGAGGACGATTTCAATCCGAGCCAGAGTTCAAGTTTGAACCGGGAACATTAAATGCAAAGGCACCGAATTAATTCGCACACCCGATGTATTTGCTACAATTTTCATTCTTCTCTCTCCCTCACTTCTCAGCGCAGAAATCGTCAGGCGCGAGAGACGACGACGACGACGACGGGTGAGAGGGATGGCCGAGAAGGAGAACGCCGTGGCCGGCGGCTCGTCGATGACGCAGTGCTACGAGAATTACATCATCGTCGACGTCGGCGCGAATCTGACGAACAAGAAGTACAGCCGGGACCTGGACAGCGTGATACAGAGGGCGAAGGACGCCGGTGTGCAGAAAATCATGGTGACAGGCGCGAGCATCCGTTCGAGCAAGGAGGCTCTGAGACTGACTAGAATATACCCGGGGACGCTGTATTCGACCGCCGGCGTGCATCCGCACGACGCGAAGTCGTGGGAGGAGCCGGACACCCTGCAGGAGCTCGAGAGCATAGCCGGGAATCCGGAGTGCGTGGCGATCGGCGAGTGCGGCCTGGACTACAGTCGCGACTTCTCCGCGCCGGAGACGCAACGGGCGGTCTTTCACAAGCAGATCGAGCTGGCGTGCACGTTGAACAAGCCGTTGATCATCCACGAGAGGGGGGCGCAGAAGGACGTGCTGGAGGTCCTCGGCCGGTACGAGAATCGGCTGCCGCCTGTCTTGATCCACTCGTTCATCGGCACCGCGGACGAAGCGCAGGTTTATCTGGATCAGGGCTTCTACCTCGGCATCACGGGTTACCTGTGTAAGGACAAGTCCGACAGCGGAATCAGGCAGCTGCTGGAGGGCGGACAGGCGCCGTTGGAGAGAATCCTCGTGGAGACCGACGCGCCGTTCATGTATCCCAACACGAGAGCGAGCAAATTGCCGGTTCACGTGAAGGACGCCCTCACCGAGCGTTCCATGACTTTCCTCCATCGTTACTGCACCTTCCAGCGTAACGAGCCGTGCGCCTTGCCGGCGATCGTCGAGATGGTCGCGGCGTTCATGCGCACGACACCGGAGGAAGTCGCCCTCGCCACCGCTTTCAACGCTCTGAAACTATTTGGGCTGAATCAATGATGACGGCAGTCATCTCTCTCGAGATTCCGAGGACGAGATCTGGTGCTAGTAGGTGCTACCCACGGTAAAATTGCATTCTTCTCTAAAGGGGGTCTACAGTGAGAATTTAAGGCGCAAGGTTTGAGAAACTGACCAATCGTAATCGATCTTTCTTCTATAGCTCGACTCTGATTGGTCAGTTTTTTTTTTTAAGGCTTAAAGGCTTACAGCTTGAAGTATCTACACTGAGACTAACGCGTCTAACAACGTGCTTCATTTGAGTCCCTGATATATCCGTTTCTTTATATTCTGTTTCGTTCTTTTATCGAACGGTAATGTGAAAATTTCGGCTGCTTGTAGAACACCTGGGCGAACGTTTACCGGTAAGTTCGCGCGAATCTGTGACTTGTTAGAGGATCACGAAAATTTGTATGTTTTTTTTGCGATACCTATATACATTTAATCCATTTAATCTATATATATATATATATATTATATATACATATTCGTCTATGTGTATGTACGGAATATTTTTATCATTTATCGACATTTCTGGATTCCCACGTCTCTCTTCATTTTGTTGTAAAATGCTGTTTGTTCAGATGGTATATAATCTATACACACATATATATATATATATATACACACACACACGTAGAATCCAGTATTATACATTTCATTGTTGACGTATTATAAATATTTTCATACGAATAAATTGTTATATAGATAATTCCTCGAATACACACATCCTTCTTCTGTTGAACGATTGTCTCTAACGCTGTTGGGCAACTTTGCCCTCCGGCTGAGATTTAAATTATCATGCCTGACATCCCCAGCGACGGCTCTCATTGGTTTGTCAATGTTACCGATGATTTGCCGTCGGACCTCCCGGGAAAAAATGATTATATATGATTATATATAAATTATATAAAATCATATAGGAATTTTGCCCCTATATGTGGTGACATATACAATCATTTAATACATATCTATATGAGAAAAAATGATGTTACGTCATTTAATGAAATGTCGATATCGCGTGCTATCAGAAGCATTCGCTTCGATTGTATTTGCATATAATTTGTGAACAACAGCATTTGTTCGTTGTGGACATACGTGATTGTATGTAGTCACATGTATGGGCGAATTTCATATACGATCCTTTTTTTTCCCGGGTTCTCAATGTCTCTTCGTTCGATATATTCCTTTTCACGACGAATCATATCGAGATCTTGAAGACAAGAAACTATGCATTTATAAGAAGGGAAGTAATGAAGCAGGTCACACCGTTTATTCATAATTAAATGTAAATATGTTTCTTGTTTTGTATTTTGCCAAGGGATTTTTTACGTTGTACAAGTCTTCGCCTTTCGTCAATTCTGACCTTTGACTAAATCACAGCTATCTCACAATATTTACAGCTGTCGATGCAGAATCACGCATATATCTCTATCAAGAAAAATTCAATTTTCCTCATTGTAATGTCATTATAATGTGCAATATTTCTCAATTATCCGATCATATATGCACAAGTAGAGAATATTTTCTACTACTGTTTTAATTATGATCTAAAGTGCTTCAATTCATCGAGACTTCGCACTTCAGTTTTATCGCTTGCATTAAGTAAGGAACCCTTTCGTATTCCGGAAGCTTCATCCAAGAATTCGAATTAATGCCAATCGTGTTGGAGTTCGTCAGCGTTTCCGCGGACTTGATTTTTAATGCCCATGTGCTCTTCAGTCTCTGCGAATTCACGGCGTACGCGCTATCGGGTAAATTGAAGATAAATATCCTGAAACAAGATACACGGTGTTGAGCAAGAAAGTAAATTAAGATAATTGTGACGCGTTAGATGAACTAGGAATGCTCTTACATTTGACTTTCACTTGGAGTTTGTATATCCTCAACATAGGCAATCTTAGATATGCTAGAAATATTTGTCTCTGTATTAATTGCAATAGGATATCCGCCCTTTCTCATTACGATCACGTGATCTGAAATAATAACGAAATCTTATTAACATTTTTCTATATTAAATATAACTAGTGTTAATTAGCTGCCGCTGCATCACACTGACATTTCAAATCACTTGATTCGTATTAATTTACAACGTACTTAGAATTATCTAATATCTTCGGTGTTCGCCTTAGATTATTTCAGATTCATCTGGACGAAGATGAGATGAAAATCCAAAAAATTCATCTAAGATTAGATGAAGAGGGTTTTGCGTTTAATTCATTTAGACGAAAGATACGATAGATAGCTCTACTTATCTAGATGATTTCATAAGATAATATCGTTTTCACGGGAGGCTTTATAAAGGTAATTTCACGACAACTTACCGATATGATGGCCAAGTCTGGTCTTTAAATTGTGATGGGCGTATTGCGGGCCGCCCAATGCCCGTTCCAAGGCTGGCTTGAGAGAATGCGCGGGCGGTGTCAGTTTAATTGTGTTAGCGTATTCGAGCAAGTCCTGTTGCGGCCACGGCCCGTCGTACGTGGGATACAGCGCCTTGACGCTTTGATACAAAAGTAACATCTCCCTGGCATAAACGTTTTTCATCGGTTCGTTCAGTCTTACATTTATGGAGAAGACTTTTCTGAGCAAATTCGTGCTGTAGCAGTCTAACGCGATCAGATGTAGGGCGAACCTAATGAACGATCTGTTGAAGAATCGCTTATCCGTCTCGATATTCTCCAATATTGCGTCTTTTATGGTATCCCAAAATACCGGCTTGTAATCGGCGTTGATGAACCCTTCGAGGAAGGTGGAGATTTTGTTGTACGACGCGCCTTTCAAGAGACTCGAGTTCTCGAAGCACTTCCCCGCCAGGTATTCCAGTAACGGCATGTGCATGTGATTTAAGTCGTTCAACGATTTGAGTATGAATATGCCCTTCGCAAAATCAACGTCGGAGGATAACGCCGAATTGACGAGGGTGTCCACGTGCGTCTCGTTGTAAAATATAGACGGCTGTTCTCGGCTGTAACAGGAATATATCCGTCAATATCCTTACAATATTTCTTATAATGTTACAATATTGATATAATAATTATATAATGTTGTATAATATAATAGAATTACATAAACCATACCTTACAGCGGCGGACGATAATTTTTCGAGTATCTTCGTTATGTCCCCAACGTTTATTTCTTTCGCCGAGGATGCAAGGATATCTTGTACGTTGAACAACAGTTTATGGGCCGTCGGAGATAAGTCAGATAGGTGACACAAGCTATAGAAGATCGACCTGGCCATTTGCGTGTCCAGGGTGTCCTCGTGGTTGTACAACGACTTGAGAATTATCTCGAGCACATCTTGATTCTGCACGTTGTGCTCGCTTACGAATCTCAACGACCATATCAACAGAGTCACGTCGTCTGTGTCCAATTTCGTCGGTAATTGCACCTCGAACACCAAAGGCAGAGCTATCAGCAGGGCGTCCCTCAGCGGTGTCGTTTCTATTTTGTTCAACAAGAACGTCGTGAAAATGATATCGTGAAGTGACATCTCGTTCACATTCGTCCGGATCATTTGCAACAGCGACTGCATCAGAAAGCTGTTGCTGCAAGTCTGGAAATACGTCAACACCTTCAGGCACTCGATGACGTCCTGCAACTTCATGGTTCTCATGCCTCTGTTCAGCACTTCGCACAAACGCACGAAGCCCATGTGGCTTTCGATGTGACACATGCTCTTCGTTCTTCTCGAGGCTCTGAATAACATGGTCAACATGTTGACTGCATCGTGCAGGGTCATGTTTATGTAATCCGTTGCTGCAGCCTCCAGTATTTTCTCGGGCTCCTGTATTATCCTTGTAGTGTTAAACGCATTTCTTCTCGCCGACAACTTGGTGATATCTTCCATTTGTGAGTAATCTGGAAAATTTTTTTCCCAAAACGTATTGCATTCATATTAGAAAAATATGTACATTTATCATCGTAGAATATCATCAAGTCACCGCTTAAATTGGTGCTGTACATCTGCGATGCGTTCTGCACGGACTGCAACGGCGCCGTGTAATTCGACAGGGCCATCCAATTGCGCGCCACCGGGTATACCCGCAACAACCTCTTCAAGGCCTTTTCCATTCTGCAAAGTTAATGTTATACTATGTGACAATGGTTAATTTGTGAGTCGCCAAGTGGCGTTAATTTCGCGCATGCTATTGTTATCACTGCGATGCCATCGATTCATTAATATTAACACTAATGCATCGTCGACACGAGTGTAATTGGGATGCCTGAGATAAGTTCAGAACGGTGAAGGCGCGTAACAACCGGCTCTCGATAGCGCAAACAGCTAACACGAAACGAGAGGTTAGGAACTCTCGTACGTCGGATTTCTCGTAAATACGCTCTTAATATTCGTTTACTGCGTACCTGAAGGAAGAATTACCGGTAATAATGTCGACGTTAGGATAACGCAGCGCTGAAAATTAAATAAATAAAATCTCGTTACTGTGAAGTTGCGTGCACATGTTTCGAACACGGCACAGATTCGTTCTTTATGACTGAACTGGGACCGCATGGGAGAACCGAACCTGAATTGAACCGATGTGCAAGGTATACAATTAGAGAATAAAGGCACGGATACAATCCGAAGATCCGTAATTGCAACCGTAAACGTGAGAGATCGGAAGACTGTCAACCCACGAAAGAGTCTACGATGCCGATCGGGTCGTCGGGTCCACAATGAGAATTTAAGGCGTAATATTTAAGAAATAGACTCAATCATAATCGACCTTTCTTTTATAATTCGACTGTGATTGGTCACTTTCTATGGCTAAGGTACTTTGTAAACCAGGACTTAGAAAATCTGTTATTTTCGAAGGGTGATTCCTTAAACGCCGAAATAAGCAGATATAAAAAAATACGACCTAATTATTTTTTGCTGCTCTACAACATATTCGAAACCCATCGAAATCGGCGAGAGACATTTGTGATTGTTTATTTGTTGATAATATTATTAAATGCTAGTATTAATAATTTAGGTGAATATTTTTGAAAGGACTAAAAATTAATCGATTATTTTTTACGTTTTTAAGATATAATCATCAAAAGTCGATTATCTAGATATCGATTTTTTTTTTTTGAACTTGGCCCATCTTTATCTGTAAAATAGAATGGAAATAAATTTTCTTTGAAAAAATTTCACAGGTATCACGAATATCAAACAGGTACGAATATCTAACAATAAAAACTGTCTTATAATTACATTCTCCTTTCCACTTTTCAATATATTATAACACATTCATTCATATTATAATACAATTCATTCATTGGTTTTACGTAAGTTTTACATCAAACGTATCTATCATGCCGTTTTGATACAATTTTGATTACGTGCACATACATATAGAGAGAAAAGAGCAAGTGAAAGCATGTGACGTAAACTATTCGGCCGAACGTTTATATTTACGAAAAGGAATATTCTTATATCCTAAATACATAACACAGAACTTCACAATAGCGTTATCCGTGCATTCCTTAACGAGGAACTTTCAAACATTTATTTGTACATTAATTATGTCTAGCATATCCTCTTAATTCAAATTTGCCGAGTAATTCGTCGATATTGTTGTCAGCTTAAAGACGATGCACCGATATATTTACAACCTCGGTGTAAACAATAAAAAATGATTTCGATACCCGTTTTATCAAACGTGGAAAACAGAATGTTTTCGCGGCAATAATAAATAAAGTAACGCCAGAAATATATTAATTTTTATGCGATATCAATGTATCCTATTAAGAGGAAATAGCAAATGTGTGTACAAGATAATTGACTATAGGTTTCTTGCGAAGTGCGGCCATCGGAAATATAGTCCTATTAAAATATACTTAATGTACTACAGCCCGTACAGCCATATTAAAATATATTTGGTTTTAGTAACCCGCCTTCTTCGTTCACTCACGTCGCGTGTGCATAAAAGTCGTTACGAGTAACGACGGATATTCGACATTTTCATTTCTTGCGTGCTGGGGCTCGATTATGCATCTCAGAAAGTGGTGAAATTGATCAAAGTGAACGAATTTAGCATAATATTTATAATTTCATTGTCCAACACTTACCCATCCAGTCGACACGTTTAATTGCAGCTTCAGGTGTAACAGTAACTTTACATCGTTATAATTTCTCAACAATGTAAATGCAATATATCAATGCAAATCCTCACGTTTTGAGATGCACAGTCCAAACCCTCTCCTTGTTGGAGTATAAGGCTAACTAAAGGGCGTACTACATCTATTCTAGATCCGGACTAAACTTTTCGGTTTTGCCTCTCTTTTCGGGAATATTAGGTGTACAAGTTAATTCGATGCCCTTGCATTTAATGTCCCGCAATTCTGGTTCAAATTAAAATTTCTATCACGATGAGAAGGGCACCGAATTAATTTGCACACCTGCGATGGTATTTGCACACCTGCGATGGTATATGCGTGTGCGCGTATGAACGTTGTGTGTACATTTACAAACAAGCGACATGCGTATCAGGTTTTTCGTCAGGCGTAAGAAAATCCAGGCGTCCGTGCTGTCACGGCTGTCCGTGCTGCTGCTGTAGATTGTGCAACTCGTACGCGAGATGGCAGCACTCGGAATCGCTCCATCGATGCTGCTCACGTATCCTGTCGCTGACATTCGGCCCTGACGCTTCCGATACCTGAAAGGAAGAAAATCGTCGATTGCGAGAGAACGCGTGTCAGAAATTCTCGCTAAATTACGTCGAATCAAAAGGGGATATATCCATGAAAAAAAATAAAATAAAATACTTGTGATCGATCGAGCACATCTGTCAAATATTTCGGAGAGAAAGAAAGAAAGAGAGGGACTCACGCTCTATCTTAGGGATAAAAAGTATTCCATTCGCTCAAAAGAAATTTTTCTTATTTGCCCCACGCGATATATGTTTTCGGAGAGGGAAGAGTTCGATCAATTTCGCATTACATAACTACCGATTCAAAGGGAAACGATACCCCGTTTCTCCCTAGAGCTTCGAATTTCCATATGCGACTCATTGCTCTCTCTCTCTCTCTCTCTTTCCCACTCTCCCCCCTCCCTCCCCCTCTCCCTCTCGGTTTTCACTTTGTTACGTCTCTATCATCCATCATGCAGCTGTCACAACATCGACCGACGCGGATATCGCGCGATATGTGTGCTACGGAGTGAATAAGAAGGAGAAAAGAGGGAGTCCCGTTCAACACCTCTGGGGTTAACTCACGTTCGAGCAGAAGGAAAGCAGCGACTGATCGGTATATTTGCTGCACATCGGCGACGTATGACGACCATGTTGGCTTCGCGTCGCCTGCCGCCCCGTCGCCGACTGACCATTGCCGGCGAGCTCTAGGTAGCCCCTGCTGCTCGCTAAACTACCTCCTCTCGTTCCATCATCTGCAAAATTTCCATTTCATGGAGCTGTCGTGTGACGCGAGACAGATCTCATTTAGAGCTCTAGAGACATAGACATATAAGCTTCTCGTCGAGCGCCACCTATCGATGGCTCTGGGGTCAGCGTCGAGATTTCTCAGACTTTTGTCACGTGTTACTCCGCGGAACCCCGTCGGTTCATTAGAACGCACTTACAAAGCAGTACAGTGTTTGCCTTAGATGATTTCAGATTCATCTAGATGAAGATGAGATGATATGGGTTTTAATTTATTTAAATGAAGAGACAAGTGATGCTACTTATCTAGATACTTTTTTTAGATGATATTGTTTTCTACTACCTGGATGATTATTCAGATAACTTTATCTATAGATACCGGCAAATACACTGTGGAGCAGTCATTCGGCGATCCGTCCGGCCGAGAAAGATCAACGCTGTCCGCTTTAGGAATTAATCAGCAAATTAAGCAGGGTGACACGAACACAGTTCGTAGGACTCAAGAGGACACCTTGTGTACTCGCCATCGAGTGGGTGGACCGACGGGTCGCTCGCTCCTGGAACATGCAGGACGGTGACTTCCAGCGCGCCCTCCACCACCTGCCGGGTCGTTTGGAGCATCGGTCCGGCTTCCCGGAGACGTTGCAGCTACACACGCTGACGGAGTGCGTCGAAGGTCGCGGACCCCATCGGCCGCGTAGACGCGACCACTTGCTGCTCCGAAGCGCCCGCGACACCTCAGCCCTCACCTCGCCGTTCAGAAAGCAATACAGCACCGCCACGAAGAAGCCCTGCTCTCGATAATCGAAATAACTCGAGTCACGATTGTTCGAGCGTGATCGCTCATCGTACATAGTTGTAAATATAAATAAATATCAGCGCAAATAATAGTACGGTATTTGTACGCTAAAGCAGAGATCAACTAATAACATTGCGTATTATATACCTGCAAGGACGCGAACAGCTGGTCGCTGAGGAGCCATGTGACCTCCACGGTCTCGTTCTTACCGATGCTGTACGACATACCCATGAAGACCGCGTAGTGCACCCCGAACAGCGGCATTAGAACCAACGTGCTTCTCGTCCACTGCCTACAAATCGGAATATCAGTTACCCCGTAAGTAATAATTCTAGAATAATATTAAATATTAAAATAACATTCTCATAACATTCTAAGAATGTTCTATCGATGTGCCCACTTCACGTAATATTCTTGGCATATTATAAAAGTGTTCTTAGAATATTAAAAAGAAGAAAATAATAATAACATAGAAAAACAAAAATTATATATATATATATTTTTTTTTTAATTTTAGTAATTTGATATTTTAGTAATTTTTTTAGTATAAAATGTATTTTCATACAAAATTATTCCGAATTTGTTTATATATAATAATAAAGCAATTGGCATTGCAGTACATTTGAAATAAAAAACTGCAGTTGTATAGATATTATATATATATTAAAATATGTTAAAATTCGGCACGGAAACAGGAATTTTAGAGGCCAAACAGCTAAAATTCATCGATCAATGCGATGTAAATTGGAAATACTGTTTCTTTCCTTTCCTCTTTCACAAAGCTCACTTGTATCTCTGCGTTTCCTCCAGTACGCTAGACTTCAGTTTCGACAGCAGCACCCACACAATGTTGACGAAGAGCACGAAGTTGATCTGACACGACCGGAGGAGTAGCGATTAATTTGCGATGGAATTCAATCACGATACAACGAATTTCGCGCGGTGCGTTCAGCGGTTCTTACCAAAATAGAGAATATCGTGGGCACACGTATTAAGAGAAAGACGAGAGGCTGCAGATTGGTCGTCCAGCAATACGTATTCTCGAACATAATCCTCGTGACTACCCAGGGTAAGATGAAAATGGCCGGCAGACCTAAGCAACGAGGGAGTAGCAATGAAGAGTTCATTTAACCTGAGAGGAAGATGAAGATTGAGCAAACCATCCCCGTAAATGCAGACTCTCTTGATCTCGGTCATCGAGCTCGCGATGATTTATCTTTCACGAATAAAAATACTTCTATTTCGAGTTCATCCCACTCACCCCATCCGGAAATGATGTAGGCAGCGATGCTGGAGTTGGCGTCGGTGAAGAGCGCCAGGATGACCAAATTGTGCAGGTATATCCCCTCCATCAGGATCCAGAAATAGTTCGCCAGGAGGAAGTATTGCCACAGGCTGGTGACCATCTTGCAGTGCCAGTTGTCCGTCTCGTCGACCAGCCAGTAACCGTCGCCGTCCGGGACCACCACGTTCGACGTTCCGATGCCGGACACGAAGAGCATGTCCTTCAGCAGCCCCATGAAGGCCCGCATCATGAACGAGGCGAACAGATGCATGTGCAATATGTTCCGCGGGCATCGCAACTTCCTACGTCCGACGGGAAGACAAGCTTGATTTGTGGCGACGCGATTACCGCGTTGATTACGAGGTAAGAGGTCTCGCGCGATATGCGATCTTCTCTTTTGAAATCGATGCGACCGATCGCGTCGAGAGATTAGGATTTATATATCGTTACGCTTACTTGATGGTAGCTAAGATACAAAATGCGAAGATGAGAGTGAACAGCGAGATCGTGTAGCCGAGTTTCGAGATGGTCTTCACGATCGGCAGGAATTTCTACAACAGACAAGGCCGAGTCACCGATGATTGAAAACGGCCGTGTATAGAGGCGTCTTTAATTAATATCTCGAAAATTCGCGTGCTATTTGCAAAATGGTGAGGAACTCTTTTGTTCGGAGTGATCTATAAGTATATGACAAGCGTATCTAACGATAGACATCGGTATATTGAACTTTGATTTTTGAACCTTGAACTCGGTCGTTAGGTACAATAGTTGTCATATGCTGAGTTCAGACTATTCGGTGCAAAAAAGTCTCTCACCATCTTGCGAACAACACGCAAATTATTTCTCTATCTCACCTTGATGAGAGTGATGTTAGTGGTCTGCACGTCCGATGTATTCAGTAGGAGGTGTGTTTGCTGCGTGTAGCATTGACTATAGTTGCTCCACGTGGTGCCAGTTGCGACGTTAAAGAACCATTCACCATCCAACATACATTGCTTCGAGGCGTTCGCCTGAAAGGTAAACGGAAAATCCTTATTTCCAGCCAGTTTATCCGGGGATCCTTTTCATTGCACGATAAGAAATATTCATGTTATATGTGAGAGTAGATAAGACGGACTTTTCCTGCTCCAAGCATCGATGAGAATTTGATGCGAGTAAGATTGCGAATGAAATTTTTACTTGAACAAATGAGAGAGAAAGAGAATACAGTATGTATTACCTGGTCATTGAAACCTATAAAATAATAGGGACAAGGCTGGAAGGCCAATTTTCCAGGTGGCGTCGAGTTCCAACACGACAACCCATCCCAAGTTTCGGGACACCAACCTGAAGCAGATTGTATCGAGAATATTAGCGCGAGAACAAATGAAAAAGTCGAGTCTCCAAGACGAAATTTCAACCCCGTATTAAACCTTCAATTTTCTACAACACGGCAAAAGTTGATAAAATAGGTACCAACGATGCGATTTGATCTTACTTTTTCACCACGATGACGTCTTAAATCCCCGCGATTTCGCTGGTTTTGGCGCCGGAAAACAAAACTTGTGCAAGTAGGTTTACACGTGTGGTTACAGATCGTGTTTTGATTAATATGTTGTTGACATTTGAAAGGATACCTGAGAAAACAACTCGACGGACCAGCTGCGTGAAGAGCGCCGGAGCGGCAACTCGAAATTTCAAACTCGGTTTCGCGAGCGAGTGATAATAAACACTAAATGCGAGAGTTAAGTGTGTACACGCGCGCATTAAGCGACACGGATCCCGTGAATTTTCACATCGACCCAGTTTCACATTAAATTAAAAGCGATCCCTTTAGTTTCCGCGATCATTACGTACGCGTCAGAGCTCGCGTCAGGGCCTCCTCGATTCTCTCAATTCGTTGCCTTCGTTCAACGTTCTCTTTGATTTTGCAACTTTGATTTTATAATCCTCCGTTTCCATCCATTTTCACCCTCTAATTCCGCAATGGAATATATTTTACGTATCCGTAATTGAACACCCGTCGCATCGATTCGCGTCGACATCGCGTCTCAAAAGTTGCGGAAATGATGGAAATCTTCTTTGCACGACACGCCGGCGCAACACACACACACACACACACACATAAACACAGATCCGATTACAAACGCCACGGTCATTATTATTAAATGTACCGTTGCATCGAGTGTGAATCGACCACTCAGCGACTCACAATGGAAGGGCCTCATCGTTCTCGATTCAAACTCTGTGCAGAAATGTCGCGGGTGAAGCCGGTAACATATTCTGCGAATATGTACAACCCCTGTCTTTGCGTTGAAAAGAAAAAGAAAAAAACGGTGGTATAACGACCATGCAGGGATTAACGCGACCATTTGAATTTTAAAACTCAACCGATGACTCGCATCACGACGATACCGAGCGATCGATTGTCATTTTCACGCGACGCAAAGACACGCGCGCAAAGAGATCGGACGCGCAAATGAGACGATTATACCGAACGATCCGGCACGAAGTGGCATGACGTGCATGCGTAATTCAAGATCCGAGAACACGCGGCGGGAGATTTACTAGTCGCACGTTTAATCGTTAGGTGTGCCAGAAGCGACGGACGACGCGTCCGTAAAAGCCGCACTGAGCGCGCTGAAATATCAACGATGTTCGACTTCGACGCGCGATAATATTCTCTCGTGTCGTTCTCGAAATTACTACACTGAGAAGAATCACTCTTCAAATGAAAGAAGTGTATTTCGTTAAATATATTTCCTCAATTTAGGTAAATATTGATCAGCTGTGAGAAGAAATATCCATTTCAATCAAGTGATTATTTAATTGGGGGTATTCAAATCAATAATTTTCTCGAGTTAAGTGAAATCCGTTTGTTTTTAATAAATCCTACCTTCCGGTGTATTTCGCTCACCTGCCTCCACGATATTGCCGCGATTGCAACGTTTCGACTCGGCCTCGATCATCAGATCCTGGGCTCGGCCGAGGTCGTTGTTCTTCTGAAACAGATTTCGACGTAAGCGCGATTTAATAATCATATTTATCATGAAATTGCAATACGCGTTGCGGCAGCTCGATATCTCGAAAGAAAGAAAACGTTGATTTCAGAATACACGCGTTTCAGCGAATTTATTCGTCGATTTCCATCTCATTCGTGTGTTGTTCCGATTTACTCCCGCGTTACGCGCTTTAAGTTTTCACCTTGACGGTAACAAGTAATGTAGAATCGCTCCGGATGGCGATGCGTCGAGGAAATCTATTTCTTGATTAAGAACGGGGAAACCCGCTTGTGATATCTGAGATGATTACGACGGGAATATCTGCGAGATAGGATTTGTCGTTGGGAGTGAGTAATCACGCGCGCAAAATGGGAGGAACAGACACGTTATTTGTGTTCGCAGCAATGTCACTGCGGTGCAACCGGATTTGCACTTCGCGAAACTTTCCCCCGAATTCGTTTGAAAAATGTTCGAACTAGTTGTGTAAAGAAAAAAAGGGGGAAAAAAATGGTGCCCTTTATGTGTAGAAATATCGTATATTACGGCAAATATTTCGGGTCCCCGTGTTTAATTTGCGAACGTCCGGTCTTGCCGGCCGGTTTATATTGAAATCATACGCGGAAAAACGTCGATTCGCGTCCGCCAACATGGGGAGCGGAAAGTTCCCGAATAAACAGCTTTGTGATTTTTGTGCAATGCCGATGAAACTCGCCTGTCTTTGACTGTCCGATTATTCCGTCTGTTTTTCCGATCGCGGTCTCTCTTTTTCTCTCTCTCTGCCGTCAGAGAGTCATCCATCATTTTAAAAAGGAGAAGCACAATACGATAAAGTTTAACCTCGTCGGATGTTGCGCTTCGAGCTCTCGAGTTCGATAAATGAAATAACGCCGCGCGTTATTCCGTGTATCGCAATGATATCGAGATTACATCATCGTAAATTTTAACGCGCATCCCTCTATCTTTTGTATTTACGGCGCGATCCTTTAGCTTTCCTTCCTTTTATTATTCTCGTACGTGTCGCTTCGTTTCGACATCAGCTCGGTTATCCAACGAAAGAGGAGGAGGGAGGAGTAATTTCGTCCGGAAGCGTGAAATCACCGACCCGGCGATTTTCGTCATTTCGGTAACGCTTTTGCGGAACAACCCAACGCGTTTGTTTGTAAATTATTATCCGGCATTCGTCGAGTAGTCGTTCACGCAGTTCAACACCGTCGGCCACATCGTTAATTAATATCCAAAGCAACACGTTATTTAAACATACAAATTGTGTGTGCCATTGAGTCGTCCCGATGAAGTGCCATTGCAATTCCATCGCGCGTGTGTGCGTGGATGCACACGTCCTACAATAGAAAATTAAACGTGCATGCAATATATATTTATTAATGACATATCGTAATGCCGGCTTATTTGAGCTCGTTATTGCGTTATTAATTATTCCTATTATTATTACAAAGTATTATGTGTCGTGTGTGATGACTAGCCGACTTCCGCCTCCTTACACAGTGACACGTACAGTCTCCGGCCATTTTATCAGACGCACTTTGATTCTTTAACAGAGCACAGGTTTAGCAAGATAAGGACAGTCAATGTTGCAGCTGCACGGAAGCTCAATTTTTTAGCCGTTAAAATATTCTCAGTTACGGCAGCTAAATTCTAACAGTCGGTAAACTCAGCTTCCGTAGCTGCGAAACATCAGCTTTCCCTATTTTAAAGACACGTCTTAGCTGCCACAGCGATTTTTTTCTTCAACTGCTAATTTTAACGGCAAATTCTTTTTCTAAATGTAGGATTCGACTTCGAGCGACGGCCGGGTGTGGCCACCCCTCTCGTCCACCTTATTATCGCGGTCGACGTTGCTTTAACCTTGATGACGACGGGCACGGCGAGTCCAACTTCCACGACGATATCCTTGTTATCACGCTTTAGTAATATACTCCCACGGTGCTCTTACATTTCTCTCCTGTTTCTCGCGCGTCTCTCGTGTTTCTTGTATCGACAAAAGTTTTCCTCTGCGTTACATACGGGCGCGGGAAATATTGCAAATATTCCAGAGAATATTCGAAATTGACATCGATCGATCAATTAAACGATCGTTCGATCGAATACGCCGGTTGGATCCCGATGAGATTCCCAAGGGAAATAAATTGACGCAACACACATTTGTCACGAATCCTGTAAAACGGAAATTTCATTTCCCCGAATAACCTCGAAACGTTTCGCCGATTGGCGAGCTTTTTTTCCGCGTGCTTCCCGCGATTTGCATCAACGAGTGTTCCGCGCGATTATTCGCTTATCAGAAGTTCCAGTTTTCCTCCAAATATCTACGTAGAGCGTGGAGAGCTTGAGAAGAAACGTTTTCACGCCGATTATCGGCGTATCGACTGGACAAAAGGAGAGAGAGAAAAAGAAAAACTAAGAGGAAGGAAAATAAAGAGCGGAATATCGAGGGAAATTTAAGCAGCGATTATAACGGTCGAAGGGCCACGTGGCGGTTAAGGACGTCCGCTCGACCGTATCTCGACTTATAAGGGACCCGGAAATTCAGAAAGTTCTGAATAATCGTGTGCGAGTTGAGCAGTTTATCCGTAACATCAAACTATTTTCTGTTTATGCGGAATTACGGTTTGAGGAGGTTTGAAGTCGCCGATTGAAAAAAATGTCGATTTTTCTTCCTTGCGGAGTAATTACCGAACGGCGAGAGATATTGAAAAGTTGTTTGAACAAGAGTTGCGTGTCTTTTTTGTGTCTACAAAGCCGCATGTATGAAAAGCTATCGAAAAGCTTTTCGAGTTACCCCCACCGCCATAAATTTCACCCCAGCGTAATTTCAAACCACCGTAATTCCGCACAAGCAGAGAATAGTTTTGTGTTACTAATGGACTATTCTATTTGCACACAATGGCACAGAGTTTCCTGGATTTTCCGGATTGCCCAGGTGCTCTTGTTAGCTATCAGGTGGCCCATTTCGGATCGTAAGTCGCGCGAAAGCCCAGAAGTGTCATTTCCGCGCCAATCCACCGGGCAAATGGATATTTATTTACGATTTGATCGCCCGCTCGTTCCGATCGGTCGACCGCAACGGATAAATCCACGATACGCGACCGAACTTTGCAATATTCAACAAGTTGCCTTCTTCGCTGGCGTTTATCATTTATCATTACAGAGCGGCTATTTCCCTTTCATTATGATACGCGAACATATGATTTGTTAACCGTTTAACGATTGTCGCGATCGCGACCCGAAGAGAACCCGCGAGAATATTTCTCCGTTAGATTAGAAGCCTCCATTGGAATGTTTACATTGCAAACAAATATTTGTTATTAAAAGCGTCATTTAAATTTACAAAATCATTTACTTGCATTTGCTTACTTTGAAATAAAGCAAAGATTTATTTGAAAGTAAGTAATTTCAACACGATTCTCATGTTTAAAGAAAACTTTTCCTCGCGAAGAAATCATTCCCTTCTCTTCTACAACGGTACTTCGAATCGCAAAGAAATTACACTCTTTCATCTACGAACTCACGATTTTCAAATCGTTTTACAAATTTAAAGAAATAACACTTTACACCCGTGAATCTTCCTCTTAAATCTAACGAACATTTATCTAAATAAAAAAAAAAAAAAACATTTAACAAAATATCTCTCTTTTATTTGAAGAATTATTTTTCTCGGTACAGATAATCGATAAACGACGGATAGAATTTCGCGGTCGGGAGACGCTACAGGCTTTTCGCTCGTTTCCCGGCGATCTCTAACGAATAAACTGTGACCTCAAACGATATCGTTATTTTCCCTGTGTGTTCGGCCGTGGCCGATCGGTCTTTGGAGAAATGCCGCGAGTCATTAACATTATGCGAATTATTCGCCGCTGCAATCAGCCAGACCTAGTTTCTTCTCTCCTACGCCGTTCAGGAGGGTCGCCGTCTGTCGTCTATTATTAGAAACCGTTATTCCGCAAAACGAACATCCGCACTTTGCGTGATTGAGCCTCACCTCGGTTGAAAATATTTTCTTCGCGATAACACACTTGTTTACTATTCCACGGTTCATGTTTATCAGAGCAGAGAGATACGTTAGATACCTTCCTCGTTTCCTCGCGCAGGAAGTACCGGAGAAAGACGGAGGATCGCGTGCTCCACGTGCTCTTTTACCCCGAATAACGTGCTTTTATTTTATATCTATGCACTTTCGCGGCATGTCAGAGGAGCCTCCGACGAGAAAAGTCTTCGGTTTTCACTCACACGTCCCGGTTCGAGCGGAGTGAAAGCAGTCAGCTCTTCCACGCGCGTGCTTTGTGCAGTTATTAGTTATCCTTCTTTCGTGAACGTCAGCGATCCTTCGTATTCTCACGTATCTCCACGTGCGCATCCTTTCCTTCCCCGACGTTGCCGGGCTTACGTGGTTCACCCGATTTCGAAGTGATGTTTAAGAGTACGTAACGGACTTCGGTGGGGGAAAACTCGCCGACTTCGGTGTTGGCGATAATAATAAGAGGTACGTCGGAAACGTAAGCATCACGAAGACGTGAGAAAAAGACGCGGGGGCGCGTCAACTGGGACTTGGCGCGAATAAAGCGACACTCGCACGCCTCTCTGCCGTTACCGTCTCGATTTCTCGAGGGCTTTATGGGATGTTGCACTGAAAACCGAGAACTGTGCGTGGTGTAAGCACGAAGCATCTCCCCCAACGGGTGTCGGGATAATATTGAGAAATATTGTAAATTATTGCACGATGCAAAGACTGTTTTTACGACGAGGACCTAAATAAACGATAAGGTTTCTATGGGGGCTGAAAGACTCCCCCGGTGAAAAGTGGAAACGAGGAACGTAATAAATGGCCGCAAGCACACCCGTTTGTTATTCGTTTCGCAACGGAGCGCGGATAGGTAATCTGGTTTCGGCGCGCTCGGTTGAAACTTTCGGGTCTTCGTCAAGCCCTTCGTCGACGGCCTCAATGCTCATTTGTTAAATGACAAATCCTCCTTTCAGGAGACCTCCTC